TCGATTGTAACTTTGGATGATCAATGGATCGGTTGAATCGAATGTATCTTTTTTTTAAGGCGAGGATGGGCTCATCAGTTTCCAATCAGTTGTTTGTCTTTCAGCTCGCTGTGTTTGCATTGAACGCGGTGGTGAAGAGAGCGAATCCAACAGCAGCAGCAGCCGCCACATTAATGTCAACGAGCCACTTCAATTTCCGATTATAATGACTCTGACTCAATGAGTCTTCTGGCCAGAAGAAAACAACGCCCCAAAACGGTGAAAATCCAAAATGAAACGAAATTCCAACAGCTGCGATGGCAGCAAAAGACCATTTTCCAATAATCTAAAATTAGATGAAATGAAACACATTTCAAATTTTCATGAAAAATGTCGGGCGGAGAGAAAAAGAAAAATTCTGTATCCGAGGAGCGCCGAAAACGCACACTCATACAGACCGCCGCGATTCGGCCAACTATATATACAATTCGGTGTATACTTTATATATATATATACATATATATAGATAGATACATATATCGGCCATATAAACATTCACACGATGCGGGTGTACGTAATTTGATTTTGGCCTGCTATTTTCTGGTTTTTATCTCTCAGGTTTTCGGATGCACAATATACAGTCTGTGTCGCTGTTCAACTTGGATGCATATCTGACAGATACACCTTGGCTGCAGTAACAGCGTATTTCGCTATTTTTATTTCGGTCAGGTGTGGGCGTAGCTTCCCCCTGCCAGGAATTTATCATATCAAACGATTGTTTGCGCCGTCCTCTAGCCATTATTTTGCATTATGGCCCAGGTAAACAAGCGTCATGCGGAAGATATCTGTGATATCTGGCGGACCGACCAAGTGATATCTGCGAGTGCGATATTGTACGTGCAGTTATGCTTGGTCGCCGGTAACCCGAGATCGGCGTGCTGCTCTCCTGACGTCGTCTCTACTATTCACACAGTCTAGGCACACTTCAACTGTGCAAAATGCGACGACTATGAATAGCGGAGAGCATCAGCAACAGCAGATACAGATACGACTGAGATACAGATACGGCAGCAGCGGCCGGAGATACAGATACAGAAATGGATTCAAATTCGGGCGAAGAAACGTGCTCCAGCGGCGTGTGTCATAAAGCTATCTAGCAGATACAATGCGAATGCTGGCTGCCAAAACTCAAAACTTAAAACTCATTCTTCGTTTTGTTTCGCTTTTGGGCGTGAGTCAGAGATCCCAAAAAACAAACAACACTCGTCAAAATAACAACAAAAATTTATGTCAGCAGTGCCAAAAGCGTCGAGCGAATATGAAGACGATAAAAACGCGGCAAATGAACAGAAGGAAGCAGCGTATGTAGAAAACTATACAAGTGTACAGTATGTTTCATACTTTTATGATATAGATTGATTAAAAAGATCTACAAGATACTTAATTATTTTAATGTGTAAAGAATAAAATAATCAACAGAATCATTATCACAAAATAAAAGTACTATATTTATTATAAGTCAAAAGTAAAGGCAAACAAATGAAATATATTTTGTTTACTTTTAATTTATAATTTCCATCACTTTTACGCATTACTTAGCGAGTCTTACAACTGCGAAACGCACTGTAAATATACATAGATATTTCTACACAGACAGCCATTCAAATGTAATCGCAAGCTGTGCATTTCAAGTGAACGGCGGAGCGCCCAACAGGTAGCCAACGGATGATTGCGGCCAGAAGCAGAACCCCGAGCCCAAAACCCCAAGCAAACATTGCTGCACACCCGCAACAATAACAATATTTGAAACGGCAACCACAACCTCAAAGGCAGGCAGCTATAGCGGCGGTGAGTGTTGTTGTAGGTGTTGCTTGAGGTAAGGCAGAAACCTAATTAGATCTCTCGCAATATCGCTAACAGACCCAAAGTATATGCAGGTATCTACAAACAAATATATTTAAAAAACATTTTAAGCTACTTAACTTATGCTTGTGTTGAAAAATGGCATTAAAAGTAAGCATTCGTATGAATGTAGCACGCTCGTTCTCAATAAGATTCGAATAAAAATGCACAGCAAAGCTTTTAACATAAACATTTTATTGTTAAATTTGAGATTGAATTAATAATTCTTTTATATGTATATATAACAGAGGAAATACAATTTAGAAGATACTCTTAGAATCAAAATGAATGATATGAATTAACACAAAATTATTGAAAAGATGTTTATATAAGTATTCATTTAGATTTACTTTTTCATTTTATCACATTAATTTAAAATTTATCCTATGAATCATTACAAATTTATTGACAACTCTGGGGCAGATAAATATTTAATATTCAAGGCAAGACAACCCCGATAATACATTCTCTGTAACCTCCGGGGAAAAAGGGCAAAACATAAACTCTTTTTTTTTGGGTAGCTCAACCGACCGCATGTGAACGCTGAGTTTTTGGCCCGCATGTCAAGCAGTCAACGAAAACAAAAACAAAACCCAGCGACGACAGCAATTGAAAAGAGAAAGTTGCAAAATGAGAAAAAACCGAAAACTTCTAGCAAGTTGAAAAGTTGAAAGCCGTTAGCGGCAGTGGATGTGTATACACTACAGCCATGGACAGTGGTCGCTCCGGGTTCCCAGGTCCCAAATCCAGTCCGAGCGCCTCGACACACTCCCACTAAGCTGATAAGCCAGCGAGGTGGGTTCCAAATCTGGGACTGTTTTTGTTTCTTTGGACTGTTTGTATATTTTTCTCTTCCTTCAATTTTTGCGGCTGGTGAAACGAGTTTTACAAATTGTCAACGCTTTGCTTTTAGTAAATACAATTTGTAGACAGGCAAACTAGTTTGCAGCTATGCCAGAAATAAAACCAAAACAAGAATAAATGGTTTTAGGCGAGTTTTCCGACTGTACGATACCCGGTGATCAATAATCAGATCGGTAATGATAAGGTTCTTATTCTTGGAAATTATTTTAATCAAGAAATGATCAGTATCTTGTTATTATTATTTGCAACGATCTGCTGAAATAAATTGATGTTATTACTGAAGTAAAAATTCTCTTATATTTCTATAGTAAAAACTAATGCATCATAACCATAATTATAACTAACAGCTAATATTCAGCGTGCTAAGAAAATATTTGTAGATAAGAAGTAATTATTTATATAACCTCAATCGTGTTTTAAGTTACATTGATATTGGAACGAAACCTACAATGTACTTTTATACAGTAAAAAAAGTAGTTTTTCTTTATTTTCGACTAGAACTTAATATTAGCCAAATTGGTAGCTGGTCAAAGAGTCTCAAAGAGAGTGCGGAAGTTTTAAAAATATATTTTGCACAAATAAGTGCATACCCTGGTTGCTTGGTACCGGTACCTAACAATCCGCAAGTACCGCACCGTGAAAATCCGTATCTGCGGGGTGCGGATCTGTATCTGTAAGTGTATCTGTGCAACATAATTTTGTCATTACGAGGCGACACACACACACCCGTACATACATTCGCTGCCGGCCTGCATATGGGCAACAGATGTTGGGCAAATACAGAAACGAGAGCTGCGAGATACGAGATACAAGATACAAGATGCGACCAGGTAGTGGCACGCCCCTCCTCCCTCCACCGCCCTCATCCTTCCTTCTTTCCGCCCCGAAAGTTGACTTTTGTTGGTTTGTCGCTAAGAGTGTTTGCTTGGTATCTTTAAGATTTCGGTCGGGCGTGGGCCGCGGCGGTAATTCATGCATCTTTCGGATACGTTTGCTACACTTTTACCGCATTCGAGTGCGAGCGGGTCGGGGGATTCTCCCCCCCGGGAGGTTCTGTCTTCCATCTCCCTCTCCATTTTTGTGTACGAATGGCCGAGTCAACAAAGAAATCATAATAGGAACAACAAAGGCAATACAGGGAAGTCAAGTGTGGGGCCAAGCACATACAAAAGGAGAGAGCGAAAACAGAGAGAGACGGGCGAGTAAGCGCGCTCGCGAAGAGGCGCACAAAAAGGAAGTCACTAAAAATAACAAACATCTCTTCTTTCGGTTCTTTTGCTGTAAGGTGGAATGAACTCAGAACTCGAGACGATCGCCGCCGGAGAAGAGGAGAGGAGCTGGCGAAAAGGAAGGGAGGAAGACACAAACCAGACACGCCAGATCGTCAGGCCTTTTAACCCAATAATTCCAACTCCAGGAGTTCCAATCTTGTTTCAAACCCGATACAGCTTCTATTTAAGCACTTTTTTTTGTATTCCTTACATAAGCTCAGATAATTGAGAACAAAAAATACAACAACAAAAATTAAAGCCTAAGCTTTAAAGATTTCAATTAAAAAATCCAAATGGTCTTAGATTTCTAGAAAATATAATTTCTTTAGATTCCGATCCTAAATGGTTTATCATGTTTATCTACAAGAATCAAAAGGAACATATAAGATAATTAAGAAATAAATTCTGCTTACACCCATTAATTAATATGATTACTTTAAGCATTTCTATGAGCAATGACCTAAAATTTGCGCACGTCACAAAATCAATCACCAGTTTCGTTGGATAACTCAAATTTTCATAAATCCCTTTACAGACTCGCAAAGCTAGTGTTAGAAATTAGAGGTTTACGCCGATGGTTAAAGGCATCGGCGGCGGCGTAGAGGTCAAAATGACTCGGCGGCGGCGGCGTAGTAGTCAGAAAGAACCGGCGGCGGCGGCGCGTCAAATAAGGCAAAAAGGCCATTTTAATGAGTTATTTATTTTTTTTAAAGTTTTATAAAGAACAATGACACTGAAGGCCGCGCTGAAGCTGCGCCGATGCCGCACCAGCGGCGCGCCGCGGCGCGCCGTTATTTTCATAATTTGGCGGCGGCGCGTCAAATAAGGCAAAAATCGGCGGCGGCGGCGGCGTGGCGCGGCGGCGTATATGTCTATTAGAAATACAACTTCACAACCTGGTGAAATTATATTTTCTGAACATTCTAAACCGTTTATTAGGATTCCTGGCTAACGCAGTGGGGATTCCCCCGGTAACGAGCTTACCTTCGTCCAGCAGACGTTCGACGTGGGTGAAGACGTTGGGGAAGGCGGCCAACTGCTTGCGATCCTTGAGCAACTGGGCCAAATAGTCGGCGATGCTCTGTGTGCTTTGCTGCTGCTGCTGCGGTGTGAGGTGCTGCTGGGGCACCACCACCTGTGGGACTTGCTGCGCTTGGACTTGAGCCTGTGCTTGGGCCTGTTGCTGCGCCTGCGCTTGAGCCTGAGCTTGCTGCTGCTGCACGGCAGCCGCAGCAGCTACTGCGGCGGCGGCGGCCTGTTGGTGCAACTGCTGCTGCAACTGTTGTTGCACAACGCCTTTGCTCTCACAGACACTCATTGTGTTGGTTGTGTGTGTTTTGTGTGTGTATTGGTGGGGAACTTTGTTTATTCTCGGCGAGATTCTGGTTACAATTTTAACTGGATTTTGTCTCTATTTTGTAATTAATTATTGCACAATTTCTTCTGGTTTCACGAGTTACTGTGGGAGTTACAGAAATTCATTAAGATTCGTGCGCGAGCAACAATTATAACAGAAAACGAAATGAAAACAACTCCACCCAAAAAGTCTTTTTCTTTCGATCAGCAGCAGAGGCAACAACAACAGGCAGGGAAAGAGAGAGAGACTGAAAACGGCACGCTCAGAGAGGGCGCAAGTCGAAAGCGAAGACAGAAAATTCCTCGGCGATCGCACACAGGCACAGGCAAATACAGTAAAATCGGGTATGTGTGAGGGTGAGCGCAACAACCACGACGGAGATGAATGAAAGCAGAATGTCAAAATAACTGATCTCGCTCTCTCGCTCGCTCGTTTGGCTGCTGCAACAGCAAATACAACAAAAATGAAAATAATTTTATATGCAAATTATTCTTCTTATTTTCCGTGGTTTTAGACAAATAGGTGAGAAATTCCTTTGCCTGGACTTTTAACGCGTTGGCAGCTAATCGAATGTAAACTCAAAACGTTGAAAATTTCGCAGAAATATGCACAGTTGCTGATTATGTATTTGTTGTTGTCGCCTGCTGCCTTCTGGCTTTTATTCTTCGTTTCGTTTTCACTCGCATTGCGTTTCGATTTTAATGTTTTATGCTTTTTCCGTTGGTACACACTTCTTTGTTTCTTTGAGGATTCCTTTTTGTTTATTTGATATATTCGAGTCGGACAGGAACGATCTCGGACTACACTGGAAATGGACGATTCCTCCTAGTTTTTCTACCACTGAACCGTGCGCAAAGAAAGAGAAAAAGAAACTGAATGCGAAGCGCAGAGCACAAAACGTTGTAAGTGTGAGATCATGGCAGTGCGATCACGGGGTGGCGTTTTCAGCATGAGTGCTCTGCTCCGCTCTCTCATCGCATGACGTCACAAAATCGAATCTGTATGCCAACTTATTTGAAATTGTGTAAATGAGACTTAAAATACGAATATTTTGCAATTTGAATGAATAATTTTATATGTGTATACAATAGCTTATTTTTTTCTTTATTCTATAACCAAATTTATATTAAATTAAAAATTATATTCACCAAGTAACAAATGTTGTGTGTAAACAAATATTTAAAAAATAACTATTAATTTAATACTCATTTTAACACAAACTGTAATAGATTTTAGTTATCTTTACGAAAATTATAACGAATATTTTGAATTCTTCCATACAAATTTGTCACCAAACTGAATTTGTGACGTCACGCGCTCTCTGACAATATTTACTCACCACCATGCTGTCAGTGTGAGCGATCAGGTGCCAGCGTTGCCAACTCGGCCAAATAGAGTTGTGCAGCTGGTTCGCTTAACCAAGATATTTTGCCCTTAAATGTGAATATTTAAGTTGACAAATTGCAAAACATGCCCAAATTAGTTAAATACGAAAGTGGGCAATCAATCAACGAATTAAAAATGACCGATTAGTTAATGGCATGCCATTACCGCTTGGCGTTGCCACCTGGCTTAGTAGTAAGCAGCCATTTGGCGCGTTGAATTTAAATTAAGACCAAGGGGGGAGGGGTTTGATATAACACGCAAAAAAGAAATAAAACATTTAAAAAACATATTTTTATGAAGACCAGACTAAAAAATAAACAAATTTTATTGGTAAACCATACCACCGAAAGTATTAATTGGACACGGAAATTGCTGGCCGATTAGAACCAAGCGGACATATTTGCGGGGGCTAGCACTTTGCCCATAATACCATGGAAATGGGCCCCGAACCTGTACTGGCCAAATGTTGGTGTTAACTTTGTTACTTTGCCGCGAAATGTATGTGGGAAAATTGGCATTCGCGAGCGTTTCGACAGCTTCGCCATATAAGCGACCCAAGGCCGGCGACAACTTTTACTTTCCACCGCAAAAAGACACTTTTCGCTGGCTTCCGTATGTTTTCAAGTGCCTTACACACACAGGGAAAAACACGTCCTGATTATTCACAATAAAATTGGTTTACTTGTCGCACTTATACCCAGAATGTAATATTAAAAATATCCATACATACATATATGTTTATTGATCAGCTCCAATAGGCGCGTCCCATTTTTTCAAACATTTTTAAGGGGTTCATCGTTAAAATGATCAAAACTTTGCAAAAATGTTAACCTCTTAAAATTCATTAAAAGGACTTGTTAACCTGCAAAAGACTAGCACAGAAAAGTTTTTCCGAATTAAAACTAATGAATTTTTTGATTAGTTATGATTAGTGCAGGGGTATACAAATTTCGGGTACCCGAAGATAGTTTTCTTTCTTGTTTTATAATAAAACCACGACTTGCTAGCTCAAAGATAGCTCATTGAGTGAATAAAGATCTAAAATATCTTACTTGATATGCATAGATGAGAAAAATATAATATTATAATCTTCATTTCATATTCTATTCTTAATTTATTCAAAACATATCACGTATTAATCTGGTTAATCTTTATGGCTTATTTTCTCAGTGCAGCCAGCACCCGCATGCTTTTAAATGAGACGTGAAAGTTTGGTGTGGACGAAGTCTTGGATGGACATTGGCCACTCTGTTGTTCCATTGGAAAGCAGGCGCCCACTACCGAACTGCCACCTCACCTGGCCGCGACAAGTCCCCTAGTCCCACCAAATTCGTGTGCACTTGGCTTGGCTCGGTTCGGAATGAGGGGGATCGCGGTTTGGTCTGTGTGTGGGCCGGGCATTATATTATACGGCCCCATTATACAGTTTTACTGCCATTGAAATATGTGTCAATGTGCGTAGTGATTGAGACATTGTATGCTTATGGATTTCCGATTCACATCTCTGCGCGGCAAAAGCCCAAAGCCCTTTCCAATCCGATACACCTACGTAGCGTGCATTTCTATTTGGACATCTGGCGGATCCAAAATGCCAAGTTTTTCGTGGGCCACTAATCTCATTGGGGCTTTGAAATTTTCCTTTGGTGTTGCATTGTATATGGGTCGTTTCGGGTAGCACTTTCTGTTTTCTTAGGGAAGTGAACAAAAGTTCTCCAGCGCTGTAAAGTTTGACGAGGAAATTATCAAAATGGTCGGAAAAGCGGTATGCATTATCCACTGGATTTTAAGATATTTTAATGGATGTTTTCCAAGAAATATACTTGCAAAACTTGTAAAACCTATTAAGAGTTTTCGTATTTTTTTTTTTTTAATCTTTTGATTGACAAATTGAAGTAAAATCCTCTTTAATTTATATACTTTAAAACATGCAAGCCATTTAAACCTTTTTCCATGTTAAACCGAGAGACATATTTTACGCTTAAAGTGTAAGTAAAGTAAGTGGTTATTTTATTTAAAAGTTCTCCGGTCTTCAATTTCCCCTACAGTATAAACATAATTGCTTTACTTTTGTGGAGACAGAATTATTACACTTTATTTGGCTAAGTACAGAGAAATATTGCATCTGAAATGCACTTCGATTGTCTGACCTAGTGTCGTACATATAAGGAAGTGGTTCCACAGAAAGATTGACAAACCACCAGGCGGAGTAACACTCATTGTGTGCGCTCCAACTGCTGACCAGGCGGAGGAATCCTTTTTTGTCTGTTGCACGTTCGGGCCAAATGCAAATTTGGCCAAGACATTTAACGGCTGCTTTGTCCATTGAACACCGCCAAATTAACCATTCTGTTTCTTAATTTACCACCGACACAGAAATCTCCGGTGTGTGAGAGTGTGTAATTAGCAGTATGTTGGCTTTAAAGACAGGCGGTGGTCGGACGGCTATTAACCAGTTTGTAGTTGTTTCCATTACGCATGACACGCGTGTGGGCGCCGCCTTCTCCTCCGGTTTTCCAGTTTTTTGAGATTTTGTGGGTTTTTGGGGCCTGCTGCAGGCCCAGAAAATGCCAAGCTGAGACACCCACACATGTAGTACTTGTATATGGTGGATACACACTCACACATCGTTGGGCAGGGGCACAGCCAACTAAGGTGTCCAAAGAGGTTTCCATCTGACCTCAATATTGAATGTACTTTTTTCTTTGGGATGAGCATAATAGCTCTTCAAATAATAACACATATGTATGTGCACAAGGTCATTTATGTTAATAGAAAGCTGATCAGTTAAACATATGAACCTATGTATATCTTTATATCTGATAGATACTGTTCAATAGTATCTGTATTTAGTAAACTTTTATCAATGAAGTACTTTTCTACATTAAGGAAAGAGCTCAAGAAGCGTTTTTAAAACCTTTACCAAGTATTGTTTTAAAGAATTGGAAAGGTGTACAAAAATGACAAAGGAACCAGAAATATTTTGTTAATCTTTATATAAACAACGAATTTATGTGACTTTTGTCGCCTGTACGTATGCATTTCGTGTGTCACACGCCTCGACACACAGGTGGAGTCAGCAGCCCCCAATGCCCGCTTTCCGTTTCCCGATTCCATTCATAAAGTTTCCACTTTGCATTTACACTCCGGCAGCTGATTGAATCCAACAAGCCGCAAAACTTGGCAAAACTAACCTAACCACGATCTCCGAGGGACGCATGAATGAATGAAGGCAGTACCAAGCTTTGGTATTCATTCACAGAATCATCGTTAGCACAGCGTTGGCAATACATACATATTGTCCGTATGCATGTGGGCGTATGGCGTTGTGGTCTTCGACATTCGTCACGCCCACGCCCCCACCAACCACATCTAATTTGCTGATACATTTCGATGGCCACCAACCACTGCGCATTTACAGTTGAACTTCTACAACAGCACAAAAAGGTAAATCCCAATCCATTATCTAGAAATTTTAAAAAGAATTGGGAAAAACAAAAGCCGTGGGAAAATATTATAAAACTACTATTACTATTCGTTATCTATGTATATCTATTTATATTATTTTTATTATTTTTTTTAATACTATTTTTTGTCAAAATCCATAGCTACCCGGGACTTACTTACATTACTGTCTTATCGGTGGTGCTTATCCCCCAGTGATGTAGGGATTATCATTTTCTTCAGAAAGCTGCAAAGTCCTCAAGGGATAAACTGAGAAATCTCTTTCCAACTTAACTGAAGCTACACTGCAATTTTTGCAAAGCATTTTTGGGCACATGCATGCGAGCGAGTAAGTGATGGAATCTCTTAAGAGGGCGGGTGGAACGAGTTTGAATTGGAAAATTGATCGCCCAGTGCTGCTGCGGCTGCTTTTGGCATCAATTGGCAAATGCGCAAATGTGCAGTGGGCGCCCATAAGTCAGCAATTGATTAAGCGGCCCGATTATCGATTAGAGTTGTGCCAACAAACAGCAGCGCCACAGCCGGCACAGTTTGAGGGGCACTGGGGCGGGAGCGTGGGCCATAAACTGGCACAATTTAGCGGGCGAAACACGAAATAAAAAGCGGCGGCGATCGCCCAAATTTGGGAAGTCGCGACTCAACTCGACTCGATGGCGACAACAATAAACATTTGAAACAAACAAGCCACAAATAAGGAGAAGCCACATCCGCATCGAGAGATGAGAGTGGGATGCGAGTGAGCTGATGGTGATGATGCCCGGCCTGCCAAATGGTTACGTGAATTCGTGAAATGGAAACATTTACTTTAATATCTCTTGCCTATATATGTATACATACACACTCAAATAAGGTAGCAGACTCTACAATGTGCAATGGTATATCTGCTTAATCTAAGTCTAACGCATAAACTTCTTGGCCTGGTCCCGGTTGACCTGCTTGAAGTGTCGCTGCTTGGAGGCCGATCCCTCGTTCATCTGCTTGTAGAAACCGAAACCACCGCCGCCAACTCTCTTCTCTGGCCGTTCGCGCTTGGCCGCGCCCACCTTCAGGTCAACCACGGGCGGCACCAGGAATCCAAAGCTCTTGGCCACCGCCTGCAGGTCCAGCGTGTTCACATTGAAGATCTGCTTCAGCTGGTGCGAGTCGTAGGCCCGCACATATGATTTGAATGCCTCCTTAGCCGACTGGTTGAGGAAGTAGTTTTTCGCTATGAGTTTCTCCAACTGCAAGAGACAAGAGGACAAGAAAAAGTGCAAGGTTTAGTCTACATTTGCGTAAACTTTTCAAAGGTATTTGGGGAGGAATGCGGCTTACGAAAATTTTTAAATTTGATAAAATTACTTAATCTAACTAAAAACCCACCTGAAGCTGAATGTCTGCAATCTTCTGCCAGGAGAACTCAAACTCATTGAGCGGTACCTTGGCAGCCTTAAGGTAGCGCAGGAAGCCCAGCTCCTCGGGTCGCATCAGAAGCAGGGCGTGACCGGAGGTGCCCGATCCTCTGGCCGTTCGGCCCACCCTGTGAATGTACTCGCGCGGATCATCTGGAGGATCGAACTGCACGATCCAATCCACCTGCGGAATGTCCAGACCTCGGGCAGCCACATCTGTACACAGCAGGATGCCAGACTCGGCGTTACAGAACTGGAAGAAGGTCGTCGTTCGCTTCGTCTGCTTCTGCTTGCCATGGATGGAGGTAACCGGCAGGTCAATGTAGTTGAAGAGCTCATGGTGGTACTTGACGGACATGCAGGATGAAAAGAATACCATCACCTTCTTCTTGCGGTTCTTCTTGAGGAACGTAAAGAGGACGAGGAGCCGCTTCTCGGATGGGCACACAATATATCCCTGCTCGAGACCGTCAACAGTGGCCGTGTCCTGGTTGTCGTGGACACCCACATAAATGGGTTCCGCCTTCAAGGCCAATTTGGACAAGGCATCGATGCGAGCCGTCTGTGTGGCAGAGAAGAGCATCGTTTGGCGGCGTTCTGAAAGGAATCAAAAGGTTAATCCAAGCACTAGACTTTGGGAGAAGTTCGAGTTTCTTACTTGGCAACAGATTAATGATTTGCTTGAGCTCCTCTTCGAACCCAATCTCCAAAATACGATCCACCTCATCGATAATCAGACACTGCAGGTTCTTGTACAGAAAATCGGGCGAGTTTTGCAGATGATCCAGCAGGCGGCCAGGCGTGGCGACCAGAATGTTGATACCCTTTCCCAGCTTTTCGCTCTCCACCTGACGATTGGAGCCGCCCATTACCAAGCCATAGGTGTGATGGTGGTGTGCCATCAGCTCCTTGAGCACACCAAACGTTTGCATGGACAACTCTCGGGTTGGTGAGATGATTATGACACCGGTGCCGTTGCGCGGCATAAATCGCAGCTTGTTGATCAGCTCCACGGCGGGAATAAGGAAGGCCAGCGTTTTTCCGGATCCCGTTTGGGCAGCACCCACAAGATCGCGTCCCTTTAAAAGGGGTGTCAGTGATTTCGCCTGGATTTCAGTCATCTCGGTGAAGCCCATCTCTTTGACAGCTCGCAACGTCGCCTCGGATACGGCTCCTTTTAAGGAACTGAAGCTTCGGTCATCCGAATCCCGGTAATCAAGGGCTGCTAGAGATGACTCCACCGTGAAGGGCTCATCATCTTTCACCGGTTTGCCATTCTCCAGCTTGTTGGGCAGCAGCTTTGTCTTCTTGGCGGGCACAGGTTCGTCATCAGCTTCATCTGAAATATGGAATTCGATTAATGGAGATTCATTTTAGGTTTTGGAGGTGCTAAATGGGGTTTCTTCAGTTAGTTTTTAAATGGATTTCATGCTTGCTCTTGGCAGCATTAACTCGCTGTTCCAGAGCTCTTCAAATTCGCCTTTAAATCATCATTAGTAGTTTAATGTCTTTTAATTTTAAACGGCAACTGACCTTCCTCCGGCTCATCTTCCTCACTTCCGTTGGACACATCTTGGTCTTCATCTTCCTCCTCCTCCTCCTCCTGGTCTACGCTGTCGTCCTCCTCCTCATCCTCGTCTGAGTCCGAATCAGAGTTGGCCACCTGAATCTGTGGCCGTTTTTGTTGTTGTTTTTGTTGCTTCTTTTTGGGCGGCGCTGGTGCCTCCTGGAAATCCTCCTCTAAATCATTGTCTGCGGAATGGAAAATGTCACTTTCATATGCTTTGAGCATCCAAATATTCCCGGTCTTACTCTCCTCCTGCTCCACACGCTTTTTGCTTGGCTTTTGCTGTTTTTTGCCCGCTTTATTATTTTTCTGTTGCGGTGGCTCGGCCACTTGAGGCTTGCCTTTGCCCTTTTCTGCGACAGTTCCTTCTTCATTTTCTCCCTTTTCACAATCTTCTTCATTAGCAGCTTCTCCCGGATGGACATGGTGCTTAGTGGGTTACGTTTTTAATATATTTTAATGGTTAAAAACAAAAGATTTCCTTATAAAAGAAGCGCGCACGTGTTGCAGCAACTAGCGATAACGATTAAACATATGACAGTATCTATCGATAGTTGCGAAGGCGATAGTTCGATTGGTTATTTAATAAAAAGACCGTATTTGTGAGCGCCACAACTTCTTTAATTTGAATTGACAATATATAATGTAAAACCTTAGTTCAAAAATATCTTCAATCGGTCTGCTATATTTTATATATATAAAGAAATGGCTATTGGTACGCAAGTGCTAGTCTTAAATTACAGCTCTAATATATGCCATGCATAAAAGTGAACCGAAAAGCCTATTATGGTAGTCATTCTATAAAATATGCCGTAAAACTAACATTAACGTAAAACTACTTAAGCGAACTAGGTCTAAACTTTGGAACGGACCATCCATCTCCTTCTCATCGGCGGTATCCATGGCGGTCGTCCCGCACGTCTTCTGTGTCGGACGCTGGGCTGCTCGGCTTGGGATGCTCTGGCTGGCATTCGGAGGCGGAACTGAAACTGGAACTGAAACTGCTGCGGGGAGGCAGAATGTGTTGGAAGTTGAATTGCACCCAAGCGCGGTAGTTGAGCACGTCCTGTGGCACATCCAAAATGCTGCCCAGAATGGGGCCCTTTATCTTCGCCGGGTCGGAGTCCACCAACTTGGAGAGCTTGAGAAAGGCGGCCTCGAATCCCTGTATAACATGCAACGCTGCATACGAGCTTCGTCCTATATCGTTGGTGGGCGTCACCGGATCCTCGATGCTGAGCACCGATTGCCAGTTATTTCCGCCCAAAGTAGATCTCAGGTGCTCCTTCTCCACGCGACCACCGTCGCTAAGCACCGAAATGGAGTACTTTAGGAAGTCAAACTTGCGACCATAGTACTCGAGGAACTGCAGGAGCAGCTGGCCCAGTTTGTTGCTGCTGTTGTACTTCTTGTTGGTGTGCGTCTGCTGCTGCAGGAAGCTGACGCACATTAGGGTCAGCGCGTAGGAGGAGACGCCGCCGGTGCTATATACCTCGTTGAGTCCATGTAGGCGAAGGAACTGCTTGAGCACCATAACGAGCTTGGGCAGCTCGGGGAACTTCCTGATGAAGTCCATGATCAGCTGGGCAGCCTGGACGCCAGACACAGCCTCATTAAACGACACATCGAACTTGATCCGCGAGACGCGCTCCGTAAATTTTACCACCGGCACCGAGGCCTTGTCCAGCACAGTGACGGTCATCGGATCCGTCACATCGCGGGCCACTAGCTCGCGCTCCAGGTCATGCAGCAGCGTTGGACTCCAGTAGCTGCCGAGATGCACCACCAGGTCGATATCCGAAATGGGCAGATTCAAGCCGGTGCGGAAGGACCCAAAGATATCCACGCATGCGCTCGGCCACAGAGAAAGCAAAACGTCCTCTATGCGGCGTACGGCTTCCGCACGCAGATAGAACTCTGTTGGCGTCGGTTGGATATATTGGTAGAAATGCTCGATTTCTTGATGCAGCAGGCACAGCGCCGGAATCCCCTTCCCGTAAGCCATTGGGGATAGTTGCCAAAGCTTTATAGGATTCGCGGCGTCACACATCTCGTTTCTGCTGCTTTTTGTTGTTGCTTTCCCTTTGCGACGCGACCTGGACAAAATAACCAAAAAACAAAGCGAATGAGAACGTAAAACAAGTAGAAAAGTTAGATTCCATTTTGCGGCAATATTCGTAGTGCCGTTACTGGGGGCAAAGGGCTGCCAACTCAACGCGATTTCGTGCAATTGTAGCCTAGGACTCAGGGGTTAAATTAATTTAACAAAAACAATTAGTTAAAACTGTACGAAAACTTTCCACAGACGTTTATGATTTATGTATGTTTTCAAGGTTTCTTGGGAATTGCGATTTATGTACAAATTTTTACAGAATAATTCACAATTAGCCAATAATTTTGTTAAGGGAAATTTAGCAGTTTTTTAGTTTTTTGATTTTTTTTTAATAAGGGGAATAATATACATGAATAAAATTAAGTTCATTTGGTTGGAAATTTATCATTATATTTTAAAAAAATTTGTTTCATTTAAATATCGCTATATTTAATGGAGAAAAACTGTGCCAATAATTAAGTTCGTCAGATTTTAATAGATTTAATGAATTACCGCGATTTAATTAATAAAAAGTGAGACACAGTATGTTTTTACATAAATTTCCATTCAAACATGTACATATGTACATATGTTCATATGTACTACTTTGGACTTCCGTGATAGTGATTTGATTTCCATACCACCTGTAATGAAAATACTTTTGTATGATGAGATTATACAATCCTTTGCGGGAATATAAAAATAAAAAATTTTAGGAATTATGTAATAGATTTGTTTTTTTAAGGCATTTACCTTTTGCTTGCGTACTTTTATTGAAATGCACGTTAGTTAAAAGTATAAAAACCACATTATTTGTAAGTATGTATGGATAAAGAAAAAACGAATTTAAATAGATCCAACTTCTTCGAAGGAATTTCTGACAAAAGCAAAAACGTTAACGCAAATACTTGAATTTAAATACAGATTAAAGAGAAAAAAACTAAACACATTGTTCAGGGTGCTGCATCTACAGCTTAAAGCGACGAATTCTTGACAAAAGGAGACTCGACGCAAATACTTAAATACTTTTTAACATTTTTTAAAATAAAGAATAAACAGATAAAACACTAAAATTAATCCTCCTCAAGATGTTTACGGTGCTGCATCTGCAGCTCAAAGCGCCGATTCGTACGCACTCCACGGATGATTGCCGCCTTCTTGTCTGGAGCCTTCGTCGCTGCTCTGCCCTTGAACATATCCATGTGGCGTTGTCGCCGCTCCGCCAGCTTGTCCTTCCGCGGCTCCGCAGGCTTGCTGCTAAATGTGGCATTGAAAGTTTTGACTGTGGCGGTGGACAGATTGAAAGCTGGCCGCGGTACCGCTGTTACATTATGGGCGCTCTTCAGTGGCAGTCGGGATGGAGGCAGACTCTTCTCTGGATTTTTAGCTGCCACAGTAGAAACAGCCGCAATATCGAATTTCTTTGAAGCCTTTGGACGTGCGCCTTGTATACGCTCTGCTGCAGAAGTGAAGCCTTGCGCTTGTTTGGCTGCGGATCCTAGCGGCTTCTTTAAGGCTGAAGTGGTCAGGATTTTGGCGCGCTCGGCCTTACGCTCCACGTGATCAACCAGGCTCTCCATCTTTGCGAACTCTTTCTGATGAAGAGCTGAAAAATCGGGGAGCTTGGTGCGCTTCTTCACCTGACTGGGTGTAACAGGCTTGGGCTTGGGTAGCCCTTGAATTTCTGAAAGAACATAAATTATTCATTTTCTGTTTGGGATGCTTGCAGTTTGCGTTTACTTACTGGGCTTGGGAAGGCGGCTGGTAAATACGATTTTCTCATCCAACGACTTGGAGCGTTTGCGGCGATTGGTGACATCTAAAAAAGGAGTAGGATAAGGAAAAGATTGTGGACATTTGCCAAGGCAAAAACTCACTTTTAGGGGCGGCGGCCTCTTTCCAGCGATGGTCGATTTCGGCGACACTGACTATCTCGATGGGAGAATTTCGGAAACTGACGGTCCGCGACATGGTATCATCGTTCAATCCGTTGGCCGACTTAGAACGTCTTCGTCCATATCTGGGTTCTGCCTTCAACTTATTCTGGTCACTTTCAGATGGCTCCGAGGAATCGAATAGCTCGGTTTTTGTTACAAATGGCATGGGAAAAGGGTTGCCCTTTGGCTTTTGTGATGTATATTCAAGGTTTAATAGAGTCTCATTTTTATCGTCTGAGTTAGTGAGGACCACTTTAATCGATGACTTCGGTCCCTCCCTCACTGACTCAACCAAAGGACTGTCCACTAGGATGACACTCAGATCCTCTTGTTTGATGTCATCTGCATCGAACGTTGTATTCAGTGGCCGCACCTCGGCTTCATCATCATCGTCGAGCATAATTAGCGATGCCATTTCTTCCTCTTCAAGCGGTTGAAGCGGCATTTCCTCTTCCTGGACGGCTTGCCCACCTACTCCATAGGATTCACCCAGGGTCTCTGGCGTTTTAGCGAACTTCTCTTCCAATGCGAGTGGGACCATCTTATCGTTCTGTAAGGTCTTTTCGCCTGCATCCTCCTCGCAGCTTTCGGCGTCTAGTGGAGTTAAGCCTAGCTCCTCGATATCTTCGTCGCCCACAATATGCTTGTATATAGCATTGCGTTTCTTCTTGAGCGTCGATTGAGCGGGTGTATCTGCTTTTTTGGTTACCCTGTAGCTCTTCCTTGAAACGGTTTTGTTCTTGGATTTTGATTTTGGCATCTCAATGATGTCTTCTGCCTCGTTAACCCCTGGCTGCTTCTCTTTGAGCCCTGACTGCTCAAGTTTGTCTTCTGGCTGCATCTCTTTGACATCTGGCTGCTTCAGGTTATCCTTTAGCTGTTCCGGTTTATCCTCTGCCTGCATTTCTTGGACATCTGACTGCTTCAGGTTATCCTTTAGCTGCTCCGGTTTATCCTCTTCCTGCAGTTTATCCCCGGGTTGCTCTGTACCAGTAGACCCCTGCTCATCCTGCTCCGCTTTTAGCTTCTTGCTGGTCATCCGCTTGGATTTGCGGGCGCGCTTGCGTGTGCTCTTGCCAACCTCAGCTGCATTCCATTTGTGAACAGCTGGCTGCTGTCCTTCTTCTTGGACATCAATTTCATCCGAAATCAATTTCTTGGCGGATCGCACTATGTCTTCATAGTCAATGGGCGGCCGTACACTCTTCCTGCAGCTGCGTCGGGGCGTTTCGCTGCCTAGAGCGCCAGAGCCCATAGTACCCGGTGTCTTCGGTGGCTCGGAATGCAGTTCCGACTCATCTACAGTGCTGTCCATCCTCTTTCGCATCGCTTGTCGCGTTTTTTTTGCCACTGGAGTGTTTGTTTCAGCTGCAATGGCGTCCTCCTGCGACGGCGCCAAGACGCCAGCATCGTTTTCTTTATTGTTAAATAAAATGGACTTAGTTATCCCGAAAATATATTCATTTACGCTTCATGCTCGCTTACCTTTAGTGGATTCCATTCTCCGCACAAGTATATACGTATTATTTAATTAATTTAACAACGCGAAATGGGAAATCTTCTTCTTTTAAACTGTACGGTATTATTTGAAGTTGTTTGCTTCAGTGTGACCGCAGTGCGATCTTGCAATTACACCTAATGAATATGAATTTAACAAACACAAGCAGATACGTATTAAGGCGAGTAATGTCTTATTTTTATGTTTTTCGTTAGAAAATAATATAACTTTGAAGGACTATGCCAACTAACATAAAAACAAACTACAAAATGTGACAAAATCGAGATCAATTGAACCGTCCAGGGCTGCCAGACCGTCCCAGTCCGGCTTCATTAATAATACTACTCAGTGTTGTAAAGTTTCTCAATCTTAACGGCTCTTTCTTAAAATTTTTCAAATTTTGTTGCTTTTATTGTTTTTAAAGTTCTGAGTTGTGAGCAAAATGTCAACGCTTTCTTGATAGATTCTAAGTAAAACGAATTCTTTATACATTCGGTAAAATACCTTTTATTATTGGAGCACAACAGAGAACATGAATTCATCAAATTTTTAAATAAAAAGAGCTGCAAATAACAGTTAATTGCTGTTTTATTGCGTCTACAAACACTCTATAAATGTATTTAAAATACAAAAAAATAAAAACTCTCTCTAAATACTTAAAAATGTGAGCATGCTGCCTTATGCGTAGCAAAGCCAGCATCGAAATGGCATCAACGACTAGCAAATGAAAAATACATTTACATGTAAAATGCAATAAAATAAATAATAAACATTTGTGGCACATGCTCCTGGCTTAGCACTCTTCGATTAGGGGCGTCCCCTGTCTGCTGAGAGCGAGCTGATAGGCAACCTCAAAGGCCTGTCCGAGGGTCAGAATGATTTCCTTAGCTAGGTCCTGTAAAAAGGAATGCATTAGCTATCGAAAGGATAACAAGTGTGAGAACCTTTTACGCACCAAACTATCCACCATAAAGACGTGGCAATAGTGCAGTTCCTGTTCTTTGGTTATGTAGGCAAAGTAGCGCAAATCCTCGGAGTCCTGGCAAACGCAATTGATATTCTCAATATCATGGCAACAAATGGCAGTCTGAAAAAGCAATAGTAATGAGATTATCTTCATAAGGCAGCCCGAGTGCGTACCATTTTCTCCTGGTCAATGAACTTGACGCCAACGCAGGAAACTGCGATGTCCACGTTGAGACGCGTCTGGAGATTGGCCGCCTTTAGATACTTTGTGGAAGTGGTGCAGTTCTCAAGTAAACTAATATCGCTGACACTCGCCGCCGACTTCATGTTCTCCTCATCGATCTTCAGTTTCTGGATGGACTTTCGTGTTGAAAGTGTGCCCTGCAATTGTCGTATTACCGTCGAGCCGAGATACTAAAAAAATGGGATAGTCAATTGTGAATCAAGTTTTAGATCCTATTACGTTATACTCACAAACAGAGCGTATCGTACTTCGTCGTAGATCAGTGTATAGGGCAAATGGCACCAGTTGGACGCAGAACTCTGTTTATTGCCCAGCAACAGTTCCGCCGGGTCCCGTATGTGCAGCGATTGCCGCGAATCCTCTCCATTTGCTGGCAGGCTCTGTGGCTCCTGCTGCGCCGGCTCATGCTCCTCCTTTGCCGAGACCTCGTTGCCGATGTTTTCGAAGATCGTATCTATCTCGGCCCACACCCGAGAGGCACTGAAATCCTCGCCTAGCGCGGAGTAGCGCTGCTTGGATAAGCTGCGGCGATGGTTGAGTGCGTGCGCCGATCGCACCATGCTGGGCGAGCGGAGAAATTCGCGATCCGCCGGCACTGAGCCTGCCCTGCCATCTGTCATATCCGGGGCCAAGTTCAAAGTTGATCCCTTGAAGAGGCCAGCGAATGGAATATCGGCCACAAACTCCTCCACCTGATCGGAGCTAACGGAGTTGGCTGTCCGCGGGGAATCACATGCTTCCAGCAAGCTGCTTTTACGCAGGGTAACCGCCGGCTGAATGAAGTTAAAGATTGTGTGCTCCGCCTCGGTGACCGTGGGCGGCGGATAATCCGGTGTGGGTGAGTGGCGTACAGTTCTCAGTTTGCTGGTGGCTTTACCCTGATTGTTATTACTGTTACTATTGTTGTTATTGTCCACAACTGGCAGCCTGCCGTCCACTTCATCTATTGGCAACAGATTCGCATAGTCGTTGTATTCTCCGCCGTTTATTCGAGTGCGTGGCTTGGGCACTGGAGCCTGAGAAGGCAGCGACATTTCCACATATGTGGCCACCGCCTGTTGACGCACCGCAGCTGAAATAATCGTAAAAACCAGATGTATCATTAGTTGAGTCATAGGTTATACGTAATTGTTTTTTCTTCTAATTTTTGTTAATTTAAAGCTGACTCCTTATTTAGTGTTTGCTTACGTACAATTGCTACTGGTGCTCGCTGAATTATCGTCGCTGGCAGAGCCATTCCTCAGCAGATTTATATACTCGTAGGATCTCGATGGCACCGAGCCATTGGAGATGTCACTACAGGTCCGAAAGCTGGGCAGTGTTGGTTGCTTATAAACCGGCTTGTAGCTGGCCCAGAGATCGCCATCGCCGTCGCAGTCGCCATCCGCCGCCTGGAGTTCGTTCACATCACCAAAGGATTTCTGCTGCAAAATGGGTTTCATCTGCAGATAGTTCTCAGGCGCCTTGGCGAACACATCCAGCGAGCTTAAAGAGTGCGAGAGTCCGTTGACTTGATCTTGCTTTCTATTTGGCGGAGGATTGAGTGAGTGGCGGGTGGTTGTTATGGAAGAAGAGATCAAACGATATCCAGACCAGAGTTAATTGAAGAACGCGCAACCGAGTCTGATGTGTGTGGGCTTAGTGGGCGAGGGCTTGGACTTGGGACATGAGTGAATGGTTCAAGTGCGAGTGGGGATGAGTGCGCTCTCCGACATGACAATGATATGAGCTGCGGGCTAAGTTAATTAGGGTCAGCAGTAGTGCATGTGGGTGTGTGGGCGTGTCTCAGTGCATTATGGTGCTGCTGGTTGCTTACTTCCTCTGCCTGGCCGACGGTTGCTTCTGGCGCTGCGAGTTCTTCTCATACAGCCGCTTTGGCAGAGACTGTGTTCCGTTTTCCACTACAATGGGCCTTTGCTGCTCCCTTGTGGCCTGGGTGAACTCTGAAAAAGATTGGTGGAAGGAGTTAAAGTGCACCCTAATTTGGGACTCTTTCTTGGTTTTGAAGTTACCCTCATCACTTAATTGCTCTTGGATTCCCTTAAACATTTCACAATCAATTGATTGCTTCAATTATAATCAGTTTTTAATTTAAACCTTGATCAGAAATCGTCATGTTTTGCCTGGATCGGAGCTCTTTCCGTCATGGAAAGTCGATTAAGCAAAGCCTTTATAAATTCTAAGAAAGAAATATAAACTGCAAAACTTACACATAGCCTGAAAAGTTGGCTTCGTTTGGATATTTCGATTTAAGGTGGTTTTTGTGGTCCATCATTTATTGTTAGTGTTATTAGTTAAGCTATATTTCTAAGGTTAAACAAATAGTTTCGTTACGCGACATTACAACCTAAACTTGGAAAACTTTAACAACATATCTAGCAAGCTATACAAACAACAAAATGATTATTAGTTTTTGTTAATTGAAAACCTTAACGAAAAACTTTAACGATTTCTACAAACACTTTCTGTATATAAACCATAGGTAAAAGGGCACAACTAACTAACTCCCTACGATCCATCCAAACGCCGTTGATACGCACCATTTATTGCACCCACAATGTCATAAGTCACATGCGGAGGATAGTCGGAGAGTATGTCCAGGGCTGTGCGTCCATTCCCATCAGTGGCATGCACAAATATCCCGGCCCGGAGGAGCGCTACAACCACAGACTTTTTGCCACAGAGAGCCGCCTCGTGGAGGGCACTGCCCGCATGGGTGAGTATGTTCACATCAACGCCCGCTGCCAGCAGGGTTTCCACCACCTTCTTGTGCCCATTTCGACTGGCCAGGTGAAGGCAGGTGTGCGTGAATATGTGCTTAGTGGGCGACCAGCCCAGCAGCTCGCCCTCGACATGATCCGGCCGCTTGTATGGCATTATTAGGTCCGGGCAGTGGCGAAGTAGCGTCTGGACCACCTGCAGCCGGCCAAATTGAGCGGCCAGATCCAGGGCCGTCTGAAAGCTATTGTTACGGATGGCAGGATCGGCACCATAGGCGAGCAGAATGCCCACTACCACATTGTGACCGTGCTGGGCGCCCGAGTGCAGCGGCGTCTCGTTCTCGATGGTCTGGGCGTTGGGATTCGCACCCGAAGGTCTGTGCATCAGCAGCATCTTAACGATATCCTGATGACCCGCCCAGGCGGCAAGAAACAGCGGTGTCGAGCCACGTATATCGGGCACATCGAGCAGGGCGTTGTGGGACAGCAGGAGCATGACAATGTTGCTGTGGCCATTAAGGCAGGCATGGTGCAGCGATGTATAGCCATTCATGTCCCGGCAGTTGATGTTCGGACTGCGGCGAAAGCTGAAATCCAAGAGAAACAGCTAATTATCCATTTTCGGCAGCAGGTGTACGAGCGTTGGGATGATGACTCACCTGGCCAGTGGTCCCAATCGCCTGTTTGAATGCTCCAGCAACTTGTCCACTGTCTTGATGTCGCCGCCGCGCGACGCCTCCAGCAGGTGCTGATCCTTTCCCATCCTTGCTCCTCCAGCGGCGCTGTCTCCACCACGTCGTTACTGCGAAAACAGAGGCGAGCACATGTCAGCAGTGGTATGTGATTTTGCTCCCGTTCGAAGAGAATGAGATCATCGCGAGAATAGAACCTGAACGCACCGAGCCCCACCCGCCCACCAGCCCCACAATCAGGTGGCAGCCAGGCAGAATCAGCTGTTGGCCCTTACACCCACACACATACATAGGCACGCGCTCACCCACTGAGCCCGTATTTATTTACACTAATCTAAACATTCCTGGGCACGCAATCGAATGTGTATGTGTGTTTTGTTGTTGATTTTGGGGCTGGCTGGCTCCGCCTCTTGCAAGGTCATTTAAGAAGTTCTGCTGTTCCAATTTAAGGCGAAGTGTATTGTTTTTTCTCACACTGTTAATTACCGGCTTAGTTTACGTCCACTTTAAAGGGTCGCGGCCATAAAAGACCAAGTTTTTGGCCGGGGAGATCAGAAATAAGAAGTCTGGGCACAAAAACTTTATTTACGTGGAGAGGCGATCAGTGACTAGTGTTGGAAAACATTCTTGGCAAGTGTTCGTTACTAATTGGAAAGAGATGGGTGCGTGAGCACGAGTTCGTGCTTTGTGCGGGTCGCCGCCAGTGATGACACATATTTATTTATTAAATTAATATATTATTAAATATCATATTATTTAAACATTTTGCTACTTGTTAAAAAGACAAAATAAATATACAAATTCTCCAAAATTAAACTTTATTTCATCAGAAAACACTTATATAAAACTTCATAAATAAGACTAAGTGATGTGTGAAAATAGTTGATTGTACTTCATATGTACTGCGGTGCAGTGGCTTGAACGGTGGATCCATCTTGGCTGCCACGGATCCTGTATCACAATCGCAGTCTTTTGTAACGAGTTAGGCCCACGTCTATCCGCTTAGAAATGCGAACTCATCCGGATATTCGGCCAGGAGGTCGGAGCGACAGGAGACCTGAATGTCCGAGGCTATGCCCTTGAGGCGGAGATTATTATCATTGGTAAGGAGCATCAAGTTTGGCACCTGCTCCTTTAGCTGCAAGCAACAGTTAATGATGCTGTCGTCCGGAGAGTCCACATCGATTAGGTGCTCCGCCGCCTCTAAGGCTGATTGAGCTGGATCACAAACGAAATGTTGATTAACACCATTTAAGTCTTAACTATTTCATCCTACCTTGTATTTGCAAACTTTCATCAAATTTTGTGTTCAAATATCTTATTGCTTGCCTGGCAAACTGAACCCTTTTGTTCTCGCTTGAGATCTTCAACTTGTCCAGCTCCTTAATAACGACATAGGGAATGTACAGCATGCTTCCTACTGTACCCGGTAGGATCACCTCGGTTAATGCCTCCACGAATTTGATGTTGTGCATCAGGATGTTCGTGTCCAAGACAAAGTACGTATGATCCAGAAGGCGTGTGGGCAATTCCTCCTCGCCGCTGGCCTGGCGCATAAACAGGATGTCGCTAATCTCATTCGCTTCGTTCCCATTGGGTTTCTTCTGGTTCGGCGGCTCAATCTGCGTCTCCTCGATACTCTCTTCCCAATCCATGGACTCTGGCTCTGCTTCGCACGCCGTGGAGTCATTAACTGCACTTATGCCACTGAGATCGCAAACGTTAACCTTGTTTGGTGTCTGTGTACGAGTTTCCTGAACAACTGCGGTGGACTTATTGTTATTGTTAGATTCCTTGGCCTCCTGTTGCTGGCGAAGAGAGGCCCGGAGCTGCGCTAGGCGCTGATTGGCTACAGATACATACATATATAATTCGTTAATGAAGTTTATTGAAATTAGTTCCTACTCCTCTGAAGACTTGCCACTTTGGGAACTGCCCTCCTGAAGACGATTGCTGGAATCCAGCAGGGCCTTTGGCTTCTCCCAGGCTTTTTGGGGCGACGACACCTTAACCTTGACCTTGGTCCTTAGACGTTCTCGCAAAGATCGCGGTGGCGTGTCCGAACATGTCGACGTCCTGCGGGTAGGCAATTTCACTGGAGGCGGCGATTCACGAGTAAACATTGAAAACCTTCGGGTCATCCTGTTTCCATCAGACTTCTTAATGTTCTTTGTCGGCGACTCCTTCTCCTGCAGCCGCTTCAAAGTGGTCTGCAGCCGTTTGAGACGACTCTGGGCTGGTTGTCTCTCCGTTGGCAAAGCTGCGGGGGCAAACGTTGAGCATTAAACAGCAATATATTAAGAGAAAGACAATGGTACATACCATCCCGTTGACGCAAATTGTAGACCAGTTTATCCTCATCTTCGCTGAGGGTTCCAGAAATTGAGTAGCCACCATTTTTGCTGCCTCCTTTGCCCGACGACATGATTATTTACATTTAGCTGATTTTTTTGTCGAATTTACCAAAACAAATTAGCGATGGACCGGTGGAAGAGCACGTGTTCGTGTCACGATCAGCTGATTTTACACAAGCATGAACGGCGCTGCCAGACTGCGAAAAAGCCGGCGGGCGCATGTCATTTTTCTAATTGGAATTTCGTGGATGGAAAGAAAATCACATAAATTATGAAAATAAAATAAGTAAATGAAGTTAAAGTTAAAAAATTAACAGAAATTATTGTGTTGATTTTTAAATTAAATTAATAGCTAAAGCTATTTCTTTTGATTGGTATTTTTTATTTTGATATACCCTTTTGGGCTCTAAAACAAAAAAATTGTGTTTCTTTGCAAAACTGCAAAAAGAAAATCTTTGGATTTATCGAATAAAAAGAGTTAGTTTAAAATTTTATTTCTTAAACTTTTTCTTCATGGCAGTGGTCCTCGGTGATAGTTTGGCAATCTTGCCCTTGGGTGGATCTACCTCCTCTTCATCAGAGTCTGAGGCCTCTTTTTCACCAATCTCATTTTCCTCATCATTATCTACATTTACTATAAGTGACAAGTTCTCTTCACCGGAGTCTAGGGATTCTTTTTTACCACTCTTGCCCTCCTCATCAGCATCATCGTCTTTCTCCTCCGCAGAAGCGACGCCATTCTCCTCCTTGGCACCTTTCTTCTTGGCATTAGCCTTGGGCGATGGCTTGACCACCTTGACCTTGAGCGGCTCTTCGTTATCCGAGTCGTCATTGCCAGTCCAGTAGCCCCATAAAGAAACCGTGGCATTGCCTGTAAGATGGAAATTTAGATGGCTATAAACATCTAGAAAGTAAAGGTCACCTTTCGCGGTGAACGTAATCTGTTCGCTCCCGCTAAAGTTTAAGTCCAGCGACGCCTGGGGAATCTTTTGCGACACAGTGGCCAAAATGAACGTTTTCTTCTGGGACTTTAGGTAAATCTTGGCCATATTGCCCTTCTCCACGGCGACACCCGATATGTGCAGAGATTTCAGAGTGCAACAATCGTACCTGCTCCCAGGTTTCATTTTCAAACCTACATAAATAGATAGCGGCAAGTTTAAAAATTAGATTATTAATGTGACAAAACAAAAACAAAATGGCGGCGTCACAAGCCCAAGCACGTGTTTCGAACAAAAACGAGCGGTCCCAAAATAAGTCCAGAAGAATCCCTTGCAGTACATACCTATGTACATACATATATGAATGTAATGTATACAAATCTAAATAGTGCCACTTACCAAAAGACTTGAACATTTTGCAGGAATATTGAATTCTGTTAGCAAAATAAATTTCTATTTTATTCCTACTTATTTGTTTTTTAATCGCAAAATGAAAGACTTGTCTATAACGTGAAAAAGCACAGTGTGTCCGTTTGGTTTTCCCTTTAATAATAAATTGACAAAAGCTATTTGACAATTTTTAAACTCCAATATGAAATGAACACAATGTCTCAGTGAGCGCAACCGTTGAAAAGCGTCGACCGTCAAAAAGCGTCGATGAGATAGTCTCGAAACGGAACGGTGGGAATGGAACTCTAGGTATTTTTTATTTTTAATTTTTTTTTTAATAATATGCCTAATTATGATTTATTTTTGGTTTAGATAAATCGGCTGTTTTTGAGAAAATCGTTTTACAGTTTTGAATATAGCTGTTCGGAAGGCGCGAACTCTGTAGCTGAAGTTGTAAATAAATGTATACAAAATGGTAAATATAATATAAATTAATTAATATATATAAATTAATAAATAAAATAAATAAATATTTTTAATACATTTTAATACGGTCAATTTAATCAAATTAAATCATAAAATGCTAAAACAACGCCAGTATTGCTTGGAAAATAGCTATAATTCCTGCTAGTGGCTAGATTACAATTAATTCCGCCATGTACTTTTAAAAATAGCTAGATCTATCGGGCAAGTAGCTAAATTGGCAGCGCTGTGCACAAACCGAAATTATTATTTTTCTGGCTAAAGTTTTCACGTTTTTCCCAAAAATTCAACCACCCCAGAAGCATGGAAACGGCAAGCACCAGTCCGTTTAAGCTCAGACACAAAGACAAGGCCGAAGGTAAGTGAAAAACCTCAGAAATCCGTTCAAAACGAAAAGCAAGTTGTGCCGGCACATCGGAACCTTTTGAAGCGCGTGTGTGTGTGTGAGTGTTGCTGTGCTTGAGCAGCCAAATTAGGATTTAAGGTATGCCGATAATTACCCCACTTAATGCAGTCTCATTCAATATGTTGCCCTTGCAGATGGCGGCCACGAGGAGAAGGAGGACGCGGACGGGCTGGTGGGCACCAGCGACGGTGAGCCACAGAAGAAGCTGCTCCGCTTGGCCGGGCCCCAACCTGTCCAAGAAGTCCGGCTGAACGACGCTTATCAGCAGCGGGAAGTTGCCAAGTGGCTGCAGACGGCCTGGACGGGGAAGAAGGGCGACACCAAAGAGGAACAAACTGGGGCCCAAGTGTTCGGGGATCCCTTCCAGATCTGCCTGATGCCGGGCATGCTGGCCGAGGGCCAAAGCCGGGCGCTGGTCGCCGAGATTACCCAGAAGGTGCACTGGTCGCGCAAGCAAATGGACCTGTACGAGTTCTACCAGAGCACCGACCTCTCCAACATGCCCAGTTGCCGACTGCTCACCAACTTCCTGCAGGTGCTGCGCAAACAAGTGCGGCCGTGGCTGGAAAAGGTGACCAACCTGAAACTGGACTACGTGTCAGCCTCCTGCAGCATGTACACCTGCGGCGACTATTTGCTCGTGCACGATGACCTTCTTAAGGACCGGCAGGTGGCCTTTATCTACTACCTTTCGCCCTGGGATGGGGCTGAGGAGTGGACTGAGGCGCAGGGCGGATGCCTGGAGATCTTTGGCAGCGACGACCAGTGTTTTCCACAGTTCCCGGTACAGCGAAAGATCGCCCCTAAGGATAACCAGTTCGCCTTCTTCAAGGTGGGCTCCCGCTCCTTCCACCAGGTGGGCGAGGTGACCACATTTGATTACCCGCGTCTAACCATCAACGGGTGGTTTCATGGCGAGACCAACGAGGCCTTCGTGGCCGACTCCCTGCGCGCCTTTCCCCGCCTGAACTATCACCAGCCGGATAGCGTGAATAAGCCTCCGCTGGGCCTGCTCCTGAACAACGTGTATCTGAAGAGCGCAACACGGCGAAGCATCCAAAAACGGATCGAGGAGAACTCTGAAATCTGCCTGTACGAGTTCTTTAAGCGGGAAAAGTTTGAATTGGCACGTGCGCAGCTCATGGCGGATACGGACACCCTCAAGTGGCGGAGACAGGGACCTGCAAATGCGCACAACTACGAGGTTCTGGATTTGACCACTGCCCGGGGCACGATCCAGGAGCTCCTGCAGCTTTTCCGCAGCGATGCCATGTTCGACTTGCTTCGCGATTTCACAGATCTGGATTTGGCCGGACCAGATGCCGCCAGGCCAACGTGCAGCGTGGAGCTGCAGCGCTGGTCGCACGGCAATTACACAGTGCTGGGCGACGGTCTGGCCAGCGAGGAGAATACTTTAGACCTGGTCTACTACCTGAATGCGGCGGATGGGGCGGCGGTGATCACGTACCTCTCGCCCGATGCCGAGTTGCCGGCGGAGAAGGCACCGATGGATGCCAGGCGGGCGGACTACGACGGCGAGGAGGAGGATGAGTCGGTATTGCTCACCATTACGCCCGTGGACAATGCCCTGAACATTGTCTACCGGTGCGAGGGCACCACCAAGTTCACCAAATACGTGTCACGTAACACGCCCCTAGAGAAGGGACCTGTTTTTGTTATTTCCTGCAGCTACAAGGAGTAGAATGTATCTTCGCTATCCTGAATGCGCACAATGACTCCTCAAGGACTATTTACATTCATTTCTACCTAATGTACAGCCACTAATTTACCGAATAAAATCTTAAGAAAACTCAAAGTCTAGAGTCTATTAGAGGAACTAATCTTCAACAGGGGTGCCACAGAAATCGCTGTAGACTGAACTATATAAGCTAATCCCACCCCTTCTGTTTGACTTTACAGATAGATACCGAATCGGGGCCACAGTTGCTTTCATTGTGGTCATCATTGGCATTGGCGTACCGATGTGGTGGCACACCACAACCGTCTACAGGTGAGTCAGAAGACACACGAAGTCTAGCGGCGTTTTTTGAATTATCTGCAATTGTTTCCGCGCAGAGTCGATTTGCCCTCTTCGGACATTTTAAGCCTTAGCGAGAGGCCCATCAAAACGGCTGTGCAGGTGGCCATCTTCACCCAGCAGCCCAGTCGTGGCCAGTTGCTCATCAGCGAACTGCAGAGTGCCTTCAGCGACAGTGGTGTGTAATTGCGAAGGCATCAAGCAATTTGAGGATTTTTATTATACCTTTTTTCAGAAATATGGGCTGTGGAATTCAAGCAACTATCACCGACGGAAAGGACAGTCCAGGAGGCTCATACGCCCGCGGCTTTGGAGAAGTTGCTGCTGAAGGAATACCCCCAGAGCATGGGCGACTTTATGTTCATCGAGTGGCCCAAACTGCAGGAGGAGCTGCTGCTCACCACCGAACGTTCGGCCCTGATGCGAAGTGATACATGTGAGTTGAACAGAACATAGGTTGTGGCAATCTCTCATCTTTCTCTTCAGCCTCCAACAAGATTGCCCAGCTGTTGCATGCCAAGATCCTGCAGACATATCGCATCAATCAGATTTTGAGTACGGACGACAGGATGGGTATCAAGTCGGAGGCCCCGCAGCCCACCTATGAGGTGATTGTCTCCGTTCTGAACCCCAAGCCCCGGCTGACCCATGCCCAGTGGAACATTGCCTTGGCTGTGAAGAGTAGGTCTACTTATCCTACATAACCATTCCAGACTTATTCCTATTATCCTCACGCATCACAGCGTACATTGAGCCTTGGCTGGCACAGGTGTCGGGCGTGTCCAACTATACAGTGCGCACGCAATGGAAATACCGCGTGGCCATTGAGGCTGAGGTTAAGCAGGTGCGCGACCAAAGCCGCCTAGGACGCCACTACGCTCTGCAGGAATCCGCCCTGCCCCATCTGCTCACCTCGATTGCCCAGAACCTGAGTGCCAGCACCACAGACAAGCCGGCCATCAATCTGGTGGTGTACATACCACCCTGCCACACAGCTCCTCTGCACATCTACAACAGCAAGGATCAACTGTTGACGCGGAACGGTGTGGATGCATTTATATCGCCGCCGTGGGGAGGCTTCATCATTGCCAATCCGCCCGAGCGTGTTTGCCTGGCCGCCATCAACGATGAGCCGCCGGTGCCGTATCATGTCAGCACCACGGACAACATGCAGGTGATGCTGGATCAGCTGCACAAGTTGCTCGACATTAGCAGCGAGCTGCACATTGATGGGGTCAAGGTGGTGGACATCGAACAGTTGGAGCCCCGTCGCTGGGAGTACGAGGCGTATCTAAGGCGCAGTGCTATTCGTCACATTTCCACGGCCAGCAGCACGCTGCAGAGCCTCATCAAGCTTTTGGGTAAGTTTCCTAGAGACATTAGAACTGCAGGTTCATTAATTATGCGGAAGGAAAAGAGTTTTATTTTAATTATAAATTCTGTTCTGCTTAAGCCTCATATTTTTTACATAATTAATATTTCCCAGAGCTTGCAGTTTGTCCATTAAATTTATTTTATTTTGCGTTGATGATTAAACGGAATAGAGATAAAACTTAATATCTTAGCTCGCCTTAATTGGACTATATTTTTTAATATTTCTTGATATTTGCTTCCCCCTCTCGTTTAGATCAAATCAGCTACATTGTGATAGACGACGAGGTGGGCGCCGCCATAACGAATTCCTACACCGACATTTTGGCCGCCAAGGCCGCCCTCTTGGAGCACCGCTTAGGCGATGCCTCGGCTTTGGCCAAGCGCGCCTTTGTGGCCTCGGAGCGGGGTTTCTTCGATGCCAGCCTGCTGGCCCAGCTGTACTTCCCCGACGAGCAGAAGTACGCCATTTACATTCCGCTCTTCCTGCCCATTATGGTGCCCGTGCTGAGTTCCTTCAACATGCTGCGCGGCGTGCTGCAGGCCAGGCGGAAACAAAAAAGTGCATAAGCGATTTAGCCAAAACCAAATAATAGCTTTTGTCATTAAAAATATTTTTTTTCAATAAGCTGTCATCATTGCGGCTTATTCGGTTTTATGTAGTACATATCATCGTCAAGGCCTCGGGGTTGGGTGGTTTTGCTTATGCTACTGTAGTTATCCAGCATGTTTAGACTGTAAATGGCCGCACAGAGAATATAGGTGATAATAATCCTCGGAAGCATTCTTGACAATGCAACGGTCAAGGAAACTCAAAAACTTAAACTTTCAAACAATTAAATTTTGACCTGTCACAGGGGAAGTACATATGAACATACATACTTGAAATGTAATCCTAGGGCGACTCTTTGCTAGCCTTGTGGATAACGTGTAGCTGCAATTCGGTGTCATGGCTGGTGGAGTACGCACCCCTCGGGGGGCTCAGCACAGTCCGACCGCTCAGCGTGTGAACGGCGCTCATAGGTCAGGTTCAGAGGCGAGACACCAGCATTGCAGACGCAGCTGCCGCTGCTGTTGCTGACGGATGAATGTCAGCTAAGTCAGATCGAAAAAGAACTTCTACAGGTAAATTTATACATAAACTTATTTAAGAAAAGCCAGCTCTCAAAAGAAACATTCCCTGAATTTCAGATTTTAAAAATTGGTTGCCAAGCGTTTTTATATTGAGATTTTTTTGGGCAATTGCATACCATTCCTAAGAAACTGATGATGGCAAAAGAAAACGAAACCAAAAACGTAGCAAATGCGCTGCTGTCAAAACTCGTTAAACATGGAATTCAATTGGTAATGGGAGAGCCATGGGGGCAGAGGGCGGAGCGGGACCGGTGTCAAAACTCGGCGCATTAAAAAAGTAAATAGTTAATTTTTAATTGCTCACGGCTCGTTGGCTCTCGACTCGGATGCGAATCGGGACAGACAAAGACAGATACTCGCCGGCGAAGAGATCTCCGCATACATATTCAACAAGTATTTGTCTTTGCAAAGGTTAAATATTATTTTAATGAGCTGCGCTTGTTGTGCCAGCGACAGGGACTTCAGAAGAGACAGAAACCTTTTCTCCATGCGGAGGTGGAGGTCTAGTCTCGGCCCCAAGACCGCAAAAAGGTCAACAATGTGACTTTTAAGCGATCGCCAAATGCCGCCAGCCCGCCAGGCTGCCAAGTGGCTTTGTGTCATGGTTTCGTGTGCCGCCAGGTCGCGATGCCGGCATATGGTGGATTTTGGATCCGAGTTAGCCTGGATATAGCTACATCGAAGCGTAATTGCTGGCCGCAAGGGCCATCTGCATTTCCGGGCGTCTGAAATAGCCCGTAAATCGCCGTTTCCCACACGCACTCAGTCATGGCAAACCGCACGCACGTAAAAAATCAATTCGGCTGAAGCGGAGTCGATGAGGAGTTGCTGGAGCTGCGCTGGCCAGCCAGCCGAAGGCTAACACAATAACGAAACTAATTTTGATGTGGTTGTTAAGTATTTCCAAACACTTACAGCTTAGAGTGGAAAATGGGCAGAAGAGACCGACCCGCTCCGACCCGGCCCAACAACGATTTGTCCGATATGAAGATGTTGCAGACAATGGTCCGGACAGGCACTTGGCCTGGACACTCTTCGGCTGCAACAAGGCGTGTAATTAATAATTGATTGAGCAGCGTTTTTCCCAAACAATGATTGACACGGCGCTTGGGGCGATCGACAGCACGATGGCGATGTCTGCAGATATCCAACAGCTGCAGTGGGGTCCAACCATCGACCACAAAGAATGGAAGAATTCCTGGCCAAAAACGGCACAAAGTACAGGCACAATGAGCAGGAACCGGAGTTTGGGAGCCGGTGCTCTCAGCCAGGTGTGCCCGCCAGCTACATATATTGTATATATGGCATATATGGCCCGGCGAACATTGAAGTCGCATTGCGAAACGTTCGCTGCTGCAATTGTAATCACTGCTGACCAAAAGTGTATTGCTCATTGCCGCTGCTGATGCACTTTTTATAGCTCCGGTGCATTCCCACCGCTAAGTGAAATTAATAAAAATCGTCTAAAATCGGTAGCTGCACCAAAAACGCCAATGCGTCTGCGCAATGCACATAATTTGTTTAATTAATTACGCCAACACATTTTCATTGCTGCCAGAGCCTATTGGGCAATAAGTTTTTGGCCGACGACGAAGCGACGACTGATGTGAAAAATCCCATAAACTACAACAGGAAAAAATCGCGCATTCGCACTGGAACTATAACAGCCATTGAAAGCCGAACGGATTTGGCGGCTTTCGAAAGATTCAACCATCGTCAAAGTGGAAGTGGATGCTGCACTCGGTCGTCGGCTGTCGGTTGCAGTTCTCAGCATGCGCCAAGGCCACTGGCATTTTGTCTGCATATGCACCAACTCAAGATCTAGGAGATCGGGTAAGCGTTTTTGTGAGCGGTGGCATCACATCACAGCCTCTACCGGATTCTGACCAGATATGCTAGGCGACCCCAGTTCAATCTTTCCCAGAAGAATAATGACTAATTTACGCCGTTGAAACATTGCAAGTGATTGTGGAACAATTAACCAATTTGTTTCGGCTGAATAAAGTCGAAGCTAACGTAAAGCGAGGAGTATAAAACATTGAAGCTATCATCATCATCAGTTGCGAGTGGCAGCCATGGGAAAGAGGAGACCCCGGGCTGGAAAAGTGTCGAAGCCGACAAACCCCAAGGACGCCATGCTTATAAAACAAATAAAGCGAAATGTATTATAAAAAATATTACTTACCCTTACTGTGGCTTGACATAAATGCCAATTTAAATGCTGCAAAACGCATAAATCAGCAACGAGCAAAGTTCCAGCTTCAGCTTCAGTTTCAGCTCTAGCTTTAGCTCCAGCTCCAGCTCCGGCTTCGATGTTGCTGCTGTGTCTCTATAGATGATGCTGCCGCTGTGTCGGGTGTTTTTGTCGTGTTTTGGGCAAACAAACGATCAGCAAGTGGCGCTCCTCAAAAACGTTTTTCTGCCAAATGTTCACTGGAACTGTTCAAAGTGAAGAAGACACTGCCGCTGGGCAGAGTTCAGCACAAAAGTCTATGTTGCTAATGCTGGGGTGACAAAAGTTGCCTTCTAATTGAATTAACATAAAATAAAAGTTGTCTTGAAAATGCGCATAATCCATGCTAGCAACATCCTGGTCAGCTCAAGCCATCATCATTGGCCATTTGGCATTTGAGTAAGAATTTCTAGCCAGAAGAATCACGAACAATGCCGCGCAGCTTGAGCTGGGTTGAAGCCCGAGCTCCGGCTCGGAAAGCTCATTAGCATGATTACAATGAAGATTCGACTGCATAATAATTCACACATATTCCCGCATTGCCGCAAATAATTACGAAAAGTGCATTTGTATGGGCTGGCAATTAGTCACAGACACTGCAGCATCTGCAAGTCGCATCGCCGGATTCTTTGCCGCCCGCCACCGTCGCCCCATTCATTCCCATAATTTACCAAATATTTTTTTATTATTTATTTTTGTTGTTGTTGTTGTATTTTTCGCCTCTATGTCTGAGCGCGGCATAGCAACTGCAATGTCTATAACATTTTCTCACGTTTCGTCGTGCAGATTTCGGCACAAGTTGCGCCTTGGTGTGGCCGCTGCTGCTGCTGCTGTTGCTGTTGCCTTGCCTGGGATGGTACAAGATGCAAGATCCAAGATTCAAGTGGTGGCTGCTTGGTGATAATGATGGTGGCGGCGGTGCACCTCCGCGGGGGTGGCGGCTAATGCACATTTTATGCAAATTTTAACTGCGCGATCCCTGTGTGTTGGCTCAGCTTATGGCAGCTTAAGTCGCTTTACGAGTGCCACAAAATGCAATTCAGAATGCTCGGCAAATCCGTTGACTGTCAATAGGTGCTGGCATTAAACCTGTTTAAATTTATGCTTTTAGCAAATTAGAATATTTTGTTTATTATTTTGGTAACTAGTTTTTTTTTTATTGGGTCTGGCTAAGGAAAATCGAATGGAAAATATTCGCAAAAACCTACTGAACAGAGATTTGGGTTTAAACCTGTTCGCTTGAAATTTATTACGTTTTTTACAGAAGATTATTTTGGTTTAATGAACTGCTTTAACTTTAATGGTTGTTTTTTGGTGCAAACCTCGCCAATAAAGACTCAAATTGATTTATTTAGAGGCAGTTAATTAATTTCAAAAATCATTAAATGCCACAAAGGCTAAGAGATATAAATGGTTAAATGTAAAGGGAATTAGCTTGAACTTAAAGTTAAGTTAAAGTTATTTAATTTGGGGAAATATTCTTTGGTCGAAAATATGATTAGAAATCATCTTAATTATCAATTTAATCGGAAAATAATAATAATTATTATTTTAAAATGTTTTTCATTGCTTTAATACATTAATTTTCATTATTAAATAATGTTTACAACAAAAATACAGACTTTTATATTTATTTACCACATTTTTTCTGATAGTTCTAGCATCGAGAGAATTTCAAATGTAAATATCCCTTTTATGGGAAACAAGTTCGTTTCCTAAGTCTTTCGTTTTAATGGGCGCTTTTTATGCGTTTCGCTTGCAGACTTTCAAATATGCCGCATCACGGCAATGCGTCAAATTAGCCAGGCAGACCGCTCACTGACCACGGTCCCGGTGTCCAAGTGTCCAGGTGGCGGCCTGGCTGGTCGTCCGACTGCCTCACTGACCCAATCAAATCCAATCCCAGAGAGCCACGGAGCTGCGGTTTCGCAAGCGGCGTCGCATCCATAAAACTGTAAATTGCACAGCTGCGTCTCCGTGTCCGTCTCCATTTGCGGCTGTCGCTGCCACGTGCAATCCGAAAATCCCAATCCCCATCCCCATCGCCATCCCAATCTCAGCCAATGCGAAATTATTATTATTATTATGTGTGTGTTGTGTGTGTAAATGCATTAATGTGTATGCAATTTCTTATTATGAGCGGTGGTTGGCTTCCAAAAGGTTTTCCGAGAGCTGCACTTTATCAACGGGAAAATCTGCTGGCAGGCAGCCCATGCTCATTGCTGCACAATTACTCAACGACCTGGGATGATGTCTGCCCCGGCCGCGATTCCGATTCCCGCTCGAGTCCCAATCGCAATCCTCGCCACTCGTTAGTGCTCGGCTGCCGCTCGAGAGCGGCACCAGCTTCTTTCTGCCAGGCATTTTGGCATTTTTTGGCGCGTTGCTGGGCATGGGATGAGTTGCCGCCAAATGCCAGGCGAGAGTCGAGAGTTGAATCGAGCCCCGGGAGTCTGCTCAGGCGCATCTTCAGCTTAATTGAATTTTTAGCTGCCGTTGCTGGTGAATGCATTTTCCACCGGCTCCCACAAGTTGTGCAAATGCTTTCGGCACTTTTACCGCTGACTGCAGACACTCTGTGACTGACTGGGCTTACATAATGAGTAAAAATTAAATAATTTACCCAGCAAATGGATTCTGGAGGAGCTTGTACTTTCCGCTTGTAGCTGCCAGGTGGAACAACGAAATCGTGTTTTGACGGCGAGCACATTCATCAATGTCAGGCGTGGAGTCCGAGGCCGTTCGGGTCTCCGATTGATGTGTATTTAATTGAAAGAGCCGCTAATTAGAATCCAATTCGCCTAGTTGCTGTGTAATGCCAAACACCAGTTCGTGTCGGGCATCATCTTCGGACAATTGGAATCTCTGGCTCTGGCCCAGGCACTGGCACTTCCTTATTATTGGCCTTTCCCACGCAGAGATCGCGTGAGTCATTGGCACATACACAGGAGTTGGTTCGTAAAGCGAACATTTATTACAAACAGCATTACAGCTCTTGCACAATCGCAATTGGCAGCAAATTAGAAAGATGGCGGCCATATGCCACTTCCCACAGCTTTTTGGCAGATGGCTCCGGGTTGAAAGTCATCCCAGTCCCGATCCAAGACCCAGGCTCGTCCTCCGTTTTTCCGCCTCGATTTCCCCGTCGCAGTTGACATTTTTTTTTTTGTTGCCTCCGCCAGTCAGCCAGGGCAGCTGCTTTGCATGACTTTGGCTGCCTGGCCTTTTTCCGGCAGGCAACCTCAACTTTGAAATGCCAAGCAGCCAGAGCTTCAGTCTGAGTCGCAGCCACAGCTTCAGATTCAGTTTCAGTTCCAGATGACAGCTTGAGGTTGCAGCCAACATTTTTCCAGGGCTTGTAAATATAGAAAAATCTAGAGAGCAACGCCCAAAATGCGCCAAAAACAGATTTGGCCGGGTAGCAGGCGTGTAAATTCCCACACTGCAGCAAATACCGTGCATTCCCCGCTCCCAGCACCGAGCTCCGTGCCACACTCACCCAAATACACATAACCGGATTGGCGGTGGCACCGCGACTTTTGCCCCGACAATCCAGCGGCAGCCGCAGCAGCAACAGCGGCAGATGGGGCAGCAAATGACAAAGCCCCGCCATGGCTATGACATAATACCCAGCGGAAGATGCAACCAGCTTGCCACGTATGCACTGTACAAAATTGAGGAACTAAAAGTGTGAACATATAAAATTAATACCTGTCTCATATTTTTCAATACATGAATCTACAAAAAAGAAATAAATAGTTGACCTTTTTATTTGACCTTTATTAAACAAATATTTATGTTTTCTTGGATTTACGGGTTTTATTTTCCAAAATATTTTTTAAGTACGCCTTAAAGATTTTAAGATATAATAAATATAAATGTATTTAATAGAAATATACCTGAAGAAGTTACAAAAATATTTAAATATTAGAATTTTATTCATTTAAAATACATTCCGTTTATAAATTTTAAGAAAAGTCCGTAGAGGCTATTCCTAAATGCACTGTAAAGAAAACATTCCCATAATGTACTGTAGTTTCCAGTCCTTAAAAACCACGTCCAACATGTTCCCCAGTGTACGTGCAGCGGGTGTAATTGATGTGGGGTTCGTTGGCCGGGCGGGGGAGTGCGCTTGCCCATAATCATGAGCTCACCCTGCGGCCAGCTGACGTAAGTGATGAGAGTAGCAACTCCTCCTGGCGGGCGGTACAGCAAGCAGCGAACAATGCAACTGGGTAAGTGTCATATGGTCACACGCTGCGTATGCGTAATTTGCGTTAAGCATACGACAGCGAGCCAAGACGGATAAGGCGGCAGAACCCAGCAGAAGCACAGATACAAGCGCAGACACGAACAAGAGACGAGCACGAAGAAGACGATGGCAGACGAAGCTGGAATACCACTGCTGCGCTGCTTAAGTCGACGCTGCACAGTGGTTACTTAGTTGAAGTTTACAAGAAATACATTTCTTTATGATTTACATGTTAAGGACTCAATTTTAAAGGAATTTAAAATAAAATTAAAAATATAGAATTTGTATTAATTCTATATAACAATAACTGATCTTTAGATTTTTATATAATTGAGAATTTATATAAATTGTATTTCAGGATATTAATTCTTATTTTGCAAGGATCTGATAAATCGATAAATACATATATTTATAGGTAATAGAAGTTTTCTGATACCTCTCCCAGTATTTTTCTTAAATTATAATCACTTCTAACCGATTTTTTAGTACCTTTGCAGGCTGCTTCATATTGCGTTTGCCACCATCAACTCCAGGGGCAATTGATTTATAAAAAATATGATTTCCATAAGGAAAATCTTTACACATTCTTTTAGAAAAAGAACCTAAAAAATCATCCAAGTTATATTTTTATTATGCTAATTTAAAAGAATGCTAATTCTATAAGAAAAATCCTTCTACAGACTTCTATAAAAGCCTAGAAATCCATCCAAGTTACGTTTTCATTATCTCATACCCACTGTTAATGATGGCGGCTGCTGCCTTGGCAGCCAAGCTGCGCGATGGGCTCCAAGTGGTTTCCTTTCGCTTTCAGAAATCATTTCGCTTCGACAACGTGGACGATAAAGTCACAGATCGCGCATCGCAGCGCCTCGCTCTGCCCGCTCCATTCGCCTGGTTCGCCTGTCTCCTCCGCGCGGTTAGTGGTTGCTGGCTGCTGGCTGCTGGCTAGTGGTAGAGTCAGCGGTGGTAGTGGTTCGTTCTTCTGTGCTTTTCCGCTGTTTGCCCAGCCAAGTGAGGCAGCCGCAGACGTCTCTCAACGTTTCGCTGCACCTTCTAAATGGGTTTTCCGTAGTTTTCGCACCTTGCGAAACACATTTCGTACGCATTTACATACACGATCGAAGTTTGAAGAATCTACCTGGCGACTGCTCATTTCCTACATGACGGACAACTTTTTTGGCACATTCGCCATGGAAATGATCCGCTCGCTGGCGATGCTTTTCGTGCTGAGTTAGTTAGTGAACAAAAAAATAGCGAAAAAAAATCAAAAAGTAACGAAGAAACAAACATCTTGTGCAGCTGGGGAGGGTTTTGCAACCGAAATCCCTTCCAATACTCATAAGATCTCTGGTGTTGTGCGCCCCCTCTCTTGTCTTGCAGTGCGATCCATGTGAAAATCGACATTAACTATCAGCTTAATTGCTCTGGATTACATATTGGATATCATCCTGCATTTGGATTATAAAAAACTAATACGACATGTTGAGCCCAGATTATGCAATGATTGCCTTTCTATTGGGTGAGTATAATAGCTTAAGGGATGTCCTTAAAAAAATATTTAAATAACCTTTGGAGAGAAGGAATTTATTGAGGGCTAGAAGGAAGAAGTATACAAAGGTATTTATTAGTATTTAAGGATTGAAATATAAAACACATGAAATTTATTGAAGAGTAGAAGGAAAATATTTGTATTATTTCGCAACTAAAATTTAACTGGTAGAATTTATTAAATGCTAGAAGAAAAAAATAGAATATAAGTATTTATTGATTAAGAAAAATCATTTGTAGGAAAGCAATTTAAAAAAGGCTACAACAAAGTAAGCATTTCATTTAAGTTGTTACTGAGACTGTGTTTTTTAATTTTTTTTTAAAAATTATTTAAAATATTCTAGCGACTTCTATTTGGTTATTATAAGTAGTCCCTATCTGCAAATTGTATTATTTTTTACATTTACATACAAAATATTTATATATAATAAAATACGTCAAGTAGCGCATTTTTATACCCTTGCAGGGTATTATAATTTCAGTCAGAAGTTTGCAACGCAGTGAAGGAGACGTTTCCGACCCTATAAAGTATATATATTCTTGATCAGCATCAACAGCCGAGTCGATCTAGCCATGTCCGTCTGTCCGTCTGTCCGTCTGTCCGTCTGTCTGTCTGTCTGTCTGTCCGTCTGTCTGTTTCTACGCAAACTAGTCCCTCAGTTTTAAAGCTATCTGAATGAAACTTTGCATATAGTCTTCTATATGCTCTCACTGCTATATATGTCGGAACGGGCCGGATCGGACGACTATATCATATAGCTGCCATACAAATGTTCGATAAATTTTTAGAAAAAAATTATAACTTGGCTGTTTTTCAACATATGTGCACTATTTTTGACATATGACCATTTTATATTATTTCTGAATTTTGGTAAAAATTTTATGAAAATCGGACGACTATATCATATAGCTGCCATAGGAACGATCAGGAAATTAATAGAAAAAAATTATAACTTCGTTGTTTTTCAAACTATTTTTTTCTACTCTGGGATATAAGCTTATTTTATTAGTTCAGAATTTTGGTATAAATTTTATGAAAATCGGACAACTATATCATATAGCTGCCATATAAACCGATCGGTAGGTGTAGGGAAAATGTAAAACTGGGAATGTAAAACTGTAACTGTCAAACTCTCAACATAATAAGTATAGGTAAAATGCAATGAAATAATATCTGCAAGGGTATACAAACTTCGGCGTGCCGAAGTTAGCTTCCTTTCTTGTTTTATACCAGATTTATTATAATATACATTTTATCTTGAACTATGTCAAGAAAAGTTAGGGAAAGTCTTTTCATATTTAATGTACCCAAAAAACATTTTTCGAAAATCAAGCAAAAACATCGATATTACAAACTTTCCAATCGTTTTTAAAGCAACTTTAAACAAATTAAACCTCAGCTTCTTCAGGTCTGATTTATTGGCGATCAGCCTTCTGCTAACAATCGTATATTGTTATTTTTAATAAAAAAGATGCCAAGATATCGACAAGAAATAAAAAATCGCAAGCTCATTAGTTTTTGTTTTTACAACAAATGCTTCCATATAGAAATGATGTACTGGCCCAAGGTCCACTGCTCGCCAAGGAAATTAATGGGATTCAATGAGCCAATGATTCATATCGATCACATTTGGGATCCCAGCGTAATTTGTTGAAGCGCAGGCCAAAAACCAAATGAAGACAAGGCTGAGAAATGGCAATTAGGGCTAAGAGTGGGTCATCAGCATAATTATCATACTGTAAATTATCTGCGAGTGAGAGTGAAGTGGGACAACGCCCCAAAACGGTGGCTCAAGGGGACTCGCCTTGCCCTTCGCCCCTCGCCCACTGCGTGAGAGCCGAGGCTCTGCGCTCTGTCCAATTTGGAGATTCACTCCAGCGACCCGCAATTGGTATCGGAATCGAACCATCAGCGCCGGACAAAAGACCTGCCTGGGATGGGGATCCATCCCAGCTGCTGCCCAGTCATAGTTCACTGCCAGACAATGGCTCTGGCTGGCAGGGGAGGAAAGTTGAATTTGAAATTCACGTGAATTAAATGCGAATCACAGTCGAGGGCTGCCACGGCATCTTTCTTTTATTCGAATTTCGAACTGTATGCTGGATGTCTGGTTTTCTCTTTGTTTTGCATTTGGGGTTTCCTTTAACAGATTCGTCTGTTTTTGGGTGCCTGCAGATTATGCAACCTGCGAGGGCAATTTGCAGCCGGAGAAGAGGAGCCGCAGTTGGAGCCGGAGTTCTGCAGTGTTGCAGTTGTGAGTTGCAAGTGCAATTACCGCTGCCTTAATTGCAGCGAGCCCCTCTTCCGCTGTCTGGGGCCAAGAACAGAAGCTGCGACACCGAATGAGTAATGGCTTAAAAATAGGCAACCAAAGAAGTAATCAGAGACAAGAGACTTCAGTGATACATGTGGTGCCTTGGGGTAATTAGCTTTTAGTGCCCAACACGAGTACGACAATCGTAATCCATAATATTGATTGACTTGGCATTTTAATTGAGCGACCCTCATGTGTTTCTGACCACAGCATCGCTGTGGGAATGCGCCGAAATGTTAATGATGTCTCTCGGTATCACAAATACCAATCGATGCTCCAAAAAAGTAAATAAAAGCCGTCTCGAGCACTCGCAGAACGGCGCGTTTGGAGGCTCTGGCTCCGCAGCAGCAGCCTTGGAGCACGGCAAGTGCTCCAGCACACATAAATCACAAGCTCGTCTCGCGTCGCGTCGCAGTTGTAAGCGAAAGTGATGCGGCCCGAAGGTCACTTGACCAGGTCAGCACCAGCACCAGCACCAGTTACTAACACTCAACTAATACACATCTCCTCTCCGATCGAGGAGCCATTCTAGCACTCAAGACTCGAGACCAGTCCTAACCAGATCACGATTTCTGCTTCTGTTTCTTGTTTACTCTTGCAGCAACGACACTTTGCTCCGGTTTCGCGCAGGCGCAGCTGCTCGACGAGGATGATGACCTGGCCTTCGGCAGACCCTGGCCCACCTACAGCCTGCAGAATATGCCCAAGACGCAGTTCACCTGCCATGACAAGATCCTAGGTGGTTACTATGCCGATCCGGAGACCCAGTGCCAGATGTTCCACGTGTGCGTCAAGCTGCCCGGAGTGGGGGTGAGTGTTCCCATTGCCCAGGTGCAAGTGCTCCAGGCTATGATTCAAGGCAGCAAAGCGGGTCATAGGTTAATTAAGAATGTAATTTTTTTCTATAAAATGTTTAGTACATGTACATTGATACCAAAACTTAAAAACTTTTTGTTTTTACCATAATTTATTCATTCAGAGCCTCAGAAGTTTGTAGATGGGAATTTAGACAATTATCGTACAATTTGCTAAACATTCAATTTGGACAGGCGAATAGCACTAGAACAGTTCTTTGCGAGGCTTAAAATAAGTCATACAATATATCGAAAGAATCAGGTTCTTCTTCCCATAAGACATGAAACATATTTCTATAAAATGACCTTGAACTTCTCTTGAGCGTCTAAGTTCCAGTTCCATTACGACCTGTTTGAAAACAAAAATCACTCTCATATGAAAACTCTGTGGAAAGAAGAAAATTACTAGAGGGGAATTTCTCATCTCTATAATACTATACTTGTCGGCATCTTCGAAATTTAGAATGAATAGCATCTATCTCTGTACCATCCCGTTCCATCTGAGTTACATGGCACATCTCTGTTTTAGACCTCCCGAAGCGTTCATAGCAAAAACGATTGGTAAGGGAAACAAACTGGATGGCAAACTGGCTGGCAGTCCCCGTTTGTATCGCCGTGTCAAAGCCCCAGCTAAATGGCAAAGGGGCATAGCCAGATGAGCTGGGGAATGTGTGATTGCTCCGAATGCTTCGTGACTGGCCCGGATGGCCGAAGACGACCGGCTGACCTTTAAAAGGGGTCTTCGTGGGTGCTGAGCTGGGAGCCTAGTGCTAGACGGTGGTGCTTGTCCTAGGCTTCTCAGGTGGCTCATCATCTGTCTCTTCGTCCTCTGCGCTAGTCCGGGTGGCTTCTCCCTGCTGATTTCCCTGTAGGATTAAGTCGAATACCTCAGACACATGGCGGCGGTGAACCTTCATTTGAATTTTGCTCTGGAGGCGACACAGGCGGCTGAGTTTACCCAGGTCCTCGGCCAGCTTGCCCTTAAATTGCGTCCTTTGCGCTCTGAGATCCTCGCGAGCGCTCGTAAGCAGTGTACTCAGTCTGGTCAACTGGCGGTTCTTCTGCTCGAGCTGCTGCTCCTGGCGGTAGTTCTGCTCCACCAAGCGTTCCATGTCAGACTTTAGGTCCGCCAGCTGAGCAATGGTGAGCTCCGCCTCGGTGCGAATCTCAAGCATCTTCTGCTGCATTAGACCCTGCTCCTGTTCCGATTTCCCGCATCTCTCCTCCGGAGACCGGCCTCCCTCTAAGTCCTCCAGGAACGCCTCCATTTCCTTTGGCCTTTCGCCTCCCAGGCTGAGGACCTTCTCCCTCAGGCAACAGTATTTCTGGCGCTCGTGCCTGTACATTGCCTGCCAAACCGTAGCGGTCAGCTCGTCTCGGTTAATCCGCAACGACTTGGTCACGACGCGCTTGCAACTTCTCGGCTCATTCGTGAAATTTATCAGAACAGTTCTCCCGCAGTTGCCCAGCAGTTCCTTCAGGAGCCCGGTCAGCCGCACGTTGTGGTACCTAAGATGAGTCTTGGTGTTGTGGGCCAGGGCCTGCAGAAGTTTCCCAAGCGTTTCCAGGGGAGTTTCGGTCTCGGTTCCAGTCTGGGTCTCGGAATCGGACTGGGACTCGGACTGGGACCCAGACTCGGACTCAGTGTAAGTGGACTGGAAATCTTCGCCCACCTCCTTGAGGTGGACCAGCTGCAGTTGGCCGCAGTCGGCACTGGACTTCTGGTCCACAAGAACGTTGAACATAAGGAAGCGGCACTCGCCATCCAGGCCCATTTTCCCCTTGACTGTCTGGAAATAGTCCAGTAGCTCCCGAGGAGTGGCCACAATGTGATCCAGCGGCGTCCGATAAGCAGTGCTGGTCACGTTCCTTGTTAGGTCATTCGGATCGCCGCTCAGCTTCACATGTCGCACCGATATTTCTGGTTGATCCGGCGCGTGGATGCCGGAGAACAGTTCCCCGCAAATGCGGGTGACAATGTCCTCCGGATCACCGCCAGTATTACCGGGACCGCAGCAAAACACCATGCTCGAGTGTCCGCCAAGAACCTGGTCCAACACCTCGGCAACCGCCACCTCGCCCACCTCCCGCTGCAGGTCGGTGGGCGGGGCGGAGAGCTTGCGGAACAGATAAACCCTCACATGGCCGGAATGGTGCATCTTCTGCATAATAAAAACAATAATTGGGTAAAAATAAAAAGAACAGATTTCGTGTCTGGTGTTTTCGGTTCGAGTGTCTGATTGTGTCTCGTTTGTCATTTGGCCTACTGTGCACAATGGCACATCGAGAACGTTCAGGCCGAGAACGTTCACCACCTGGTCTTGGACGAGTGCCGAGCGGAGAAGCTTCCCGGCGGGTCTCGGCAAATGCCAAGTGCCAAGTGCCATGTGGAAATGCCAAAGTTTGCGACAGGCATCGCCAGCGAATGCTTCTGGTGGCATTAAAGCCACCAGCCGACCTCGCAAGGAACTCGCTGATTGGATATGTGCAGCTGTATCTGTATCTAAGACTGCCTTAACTGCCATAACAGGAAATGTATTTAGTTTTTAAGTAAAACGAATAAATAAAAGCAAATAAGACATATTTCTATAACCATATTAAACATTATATTACCTCTTATTTAACTTATTATCAGTTTTAACCTTATATATTTATATTCATTTAATTAAAATAGAAAATAGCTTTGTTATTAGTCGCTTATTGTTGGCCAAGTTTGCAGTTTACCAACCTTATAGTCAACCAGTTTCAATTACCAAAATTGTGGCTTAAACCTGAACTGCGCTGCTGCTGCCTTTGTTTCTTGGCCCTAATGCTTTCGGCTTAATCGAACCCACTTATAACATTGAATTTTGCATGTTGCTCTGCCTATCTAATGGTGCTGTTTTTTGGTGCTTTCGATGCTTTCGCTGTTTTCGCGCAGCTCCTACACCGAAGAGTTAATCCGTTTGTCCAACAGGTGCAGGACTACCGCTTCCTCTGCCCCAATACGACGGCCTTTGACCAGGAACTGCAGATCTGTGCCAACTGGTTGGACGTGGACTGCGACAAGGCCACCTCCCTGTACGACAACGGTCACCTGAACGATTTGTATCGCGGCGGGGACGACAATAAGGCCGCCCACGAGGAGGAGGCCACCTTCCATCTTCAGAGAGCCGAAAGTGGTAAGTAGACAGGTTCCAGTTTCCAGGTATATTTGAGGTTGTTTATCAAATAATTAAGTCATCTTTATTAACGGGGAACAAGAGTCGTGATCTGTGGTGATTTCAACCAGGGTTATCTCTAATTGCAGGCGATGTGCGGCGCTCTAAGGAGCACCACAATGCCAGCCCCAACTCCAATCGCGGCGTGGAGCACAAGTCACGCCCTCGCCACAATTACGCCCAGACAGGTGGCGGCTCCAGCTCCAGCTCCAGTCCCAATTTGGAGATCACGCAACCCACCAAGCGACCCATTTCCACCTATTACACGCCGACCATCTTGGGCAGCAGCTCCCCCGCGTCCACAACGACTACGACAACCACATCGACCACGACGGAGCGTAGCTATTACAACAACAACAATTACAATAACAACTACAGCAACAATTACAGCAACAACAATGACGACTCGAAGCGTAAGAAACAATGGCCCCTTGCGAGGCATAACCCGAATTAATCACGCTCCCACCCCGTTCCGCAGAAGACGCAGATGATATCTTCAAGGGTTCCCACAGCTCGCACTTCTTCTCCAACCGCCACGGCGGCCGGGAATACGACGAGGAGCCCGCCCGCCCCAAGCCCAACGATCTGAGTGACTTCCAACGCAAGACCACGCGGGTCACGCCCACCCGAGGCCAACGGGTAACTTCTGCTCCGAGCAGTCCCCTCACCGCCAGCACTGCTGCTCCCCCGGCAACTACCAAGTCCTTGAAGAAGATCACCCTGCACGCCACTTTCAACACGGACTTCCTGGACAACTCGCCGCACGCCAAGACCACGGGCCAGAGCGTGGTGACTACGCCGCGTCCCAGCAGCAGCATCACCAGCCGCTTCAGCTTCGGCTCCAGTGACTTCCCCACCCAGGAGCGCATCCAGCCCACCACCTACAACCCGAACAGTGGAGCCTATCGCCTCAAGACGACCACGCCACCACCTTACAGCTCCAGTTCCACCAAGGTAACGGGCAAGGGAGTGCAGGACTTTGACAAGCGCAGCAAGCCCACGGCGGCGGCGGTGCGAAAGCAGAAGCTGGGTCCCCAGGAGTCCAACTACATCAACCAGAACGAGTTCGGAGATCTGGCCAAGGGTCCCAAGCTGCAACAGCCGCAGCCCTTCCAGCTGGCCCAGAAGAAGCCCAACCAACTGGAGCCCCATTACCAGCGCCACAAACCCCAGCAGCCGCAGGTAGTGACCAGGGTGGGCGCCCAGGAGCCCGCTCCCTTCTCGGCTCCCAGCTCAAAGCCGCGCTCGTTCACCAGCCGTGGCAGCATCACCTACAAAGCCACCACAGAGCGTTATGCCGACGATGAGCTGCACTATCCCACAACTCCTGTGACAGCTGCATCCAGAGCCAAGGAGGCATACACGCCCACCACCTTCCGACCCACCACCTACAAGAAGCCCTACGAGCAGAGCTACCAGGCGCAGGCTCACACACAGATTACCCATCGCCCCACGCCGGCGGCTAGCAAGAAGTTGACGTCGGCGGCGACACCGGCCCTGCCGACTACGGCGAATCCCTACTACAATGTGGACGAGGACGATGGCCAGTACCATCCGGAGCTGTACGAGAACGACTTCCCCCGCAATCGCTTCAAGTTCCTGCGCAACCGAGGTGGCAGCTCTTCCACCTCAACGACCAGTGCCGCTCCGGTGGTATCCAGCCGGCAGCCACATGGCTTTCAGCAGGCACACAGCCACCTGAAGAGCCAGCAGCAATCCGCCTACCAGAAGGAGCGCGAGCGTGAGCGCGAACGTGAACGGGAGTCGGACCTGAGCGACGAAGAGGAGCTCTTCAAGACTGCCCAGTCGCTGAACTTCGGGGCGGCCAGCATCAACAAGCTGCGGGCGGACATCTACAAGGCGGAGAAGAACTCACAGCAGTACAACTCTCAGTATAGTCCGCAGCTGGCGTCATCTAGTCCGCAGGCCAGCAGCTCCACTAGCACTTCCAGCACCACCACCAGTACCACAACGACCCGGCGACCGACCACGACTAGGAGCACTACCACCAGCACTACCACGACAGGAGCGCCCATTGAGTCGAAGAAGTCGGCCAAGAGCAAAAAGGAGCAGCATCAGCTGGACAAGGAGAAGAAGGAGAAGGAGAAGCCGGCCGGAAAGAGGCCCCCTCATGCGGACGAAGACACCAGCTACGATTATGCTTACTACGATACGGACTAGCCACTGGGCCACCAACTAACCAATCACTTGCAGTACACACACACCCACGCCCGTTTCTACCATCCGTTCCAGACCATCATTACCCCAGCAGCAGCTACATAGGTGCCACAGTATTTTAAAGACAGATCCCGCTCATCATCTGATGCACATACATAACATATCGACACATAAACCCAGCTTAACTTAACCCCCGACACTCGCGCACATTCATTCAATCAGTTTCAGATGCGTTCTAATGAATTTCCATGCGTGTATCTAGTTATTTAAATAAAAGGATTATGTTTAGTCGTTAGACAATTGTTGAATTGAAGCGAATTGGCAGCGAAAACCGAAACGTATCGAGGACCGGCCGCGGATTGTATTGGGCAATTGCATTGAATTATTTGTGTACTTGTTGTCTAATGTTCAATGGATTCACTACGAAATTGTAATAGTTTTAAGTCTTCTTGTAAATAAAATCAAATGTAATTCGTAACAAGAGAGTATACCCTTGCAGGTTGCAATTGGATCGGGGGCAGAATTAGAAATCTATCATAACTTAGCTGAAGTTGCATTAATTTTGATCAAGAAAGCGGTTGATTTTTATTGGCTTAAAAAAACAGCACACTTAATTGAAACTTTTCGAAAATCATAATTTTTAAAAATATTTGGACATTTTAATGATGTAACCTTTTAAAATTTTGTTTATTTGAAATTAAAGTTGAAAAATGTAAATTTCTTCGCTTCATTTTTTAGCAAGTTTTAAAGTCATATTTCGGGTGTTTTTATTAAATTAAAAATACATTTAAATAAAAAGAAACTTAGTGCAAGATTTGCATTGCAAAATTGATGATCATCAGTCCTTGAACTTCTGGCGCACGCACCGCGGCATTGGGAACAAGTAGAGCAGCATGTTGAAGGCAGCTAGACCCACAGCAAAGGCACAGGAGGCGGCCACGTCGATGGTTTCCTAAATACCAAGCTATATAGTTATTTTACACAGATATCTATATATATATCTTACATCGGGGTCGGGCAGACCCAAACGCTCGTGCATAAAGTCCGCCGGCTTAGGGCAGATAACGGAGGCGGTGGGAGTGCAGTTGAGCTTACGCGACTGGAAGGCTATGCTGTGGAGCAGGGAGGAGGCGTATCGGGTGTGGGTGCCCTTGGTGTTGTCTTGCAGCCAGGGTTGCAGTCCCTTAAAGGAGCTAAGAAAGGGAAAACTCATGTTTAAAACAGTTGTTTTCTTTAACAAACTTACCGAACTGTGCCACTGGCCAGGGCGATGCTGATAACCAGCACATAGGTCACTGCTATGGCTGCATTGAAAGGTACCTTGACCACCAGAAGGAAGGCAATCGTTAGCTGCTCCGCAAGCACAAAGCTTGACCACAGAGCCACCAGCAAGTAGCCAAAAACTGTGCCATTATTGTACTTAACATCCAACAGGAGACTGGAAAAAATAAACTGTTGAATTCCATAGACTTTTCTAAGGTCCAAAAAACCTACGGATAAATGACACAGCTGGCTATTACGGCAGACACCGCGGAGAAGGGTATGGAAACGGAGTTGTAGGCAATCAGCAGAGTCGTTCCCGAGTAGAGACCCTCTGGAGTGTCCTGCGAGAACTTTTTACGCCAAATTGGAACTGCAAAAATGTATAAATATAGTAAAGGGCGAACTTTGGAGGAAGCTTAGTAACTCACATAGAGATATGGTTGTTAATATTCCGCAGCCATAGGACAGTCCTAAAATATTCAGGATCATGCCGTTTCTGGTGAAGAAGCCATGCGCATCATCCTAGGAAATTATCCATTATTAAAATTTTTCATTTTAATCTGTATTATTGGCCTACTTACTCCCACATTTGTGTAGAAGGCCCAGAGGATGCTCATGGCCAAGGGCAGAAGCAGCATGCGCAGGAATAGTGTCTTCATGCCCACAAGGCCACAGGAAAAGGTGGAGGCCAACAGTTTTCTAAAGCAAAATCAATTATTAATAATCTTACAATGGAAAAAAACTTCGATTACTTAGAAAATATTAAATGACTTGAGCAGAAACTCTGTTTCCAAAAAACATTGTCTACTTTTTGGCGGCAGCATTTTTGTTCATATCTTTTAAAAAAATATAAAACAAATATAGTAAACACTTACAAGTACAGCATAACCCAAACTTTGAGTTCTCCCGGCTTTCCGTAGGCCAGCGGCACCTTTCCGGATCCCATATTATTGATGGGGGCATCCGAGATGGGAGTCTCTCGCGAGAATCGCTCCACCAAAGCTTCGATTTGCTGGCTTGACTCCAAGAACCGATCACGACTCCGTCTGTCTACGGTAGACAGACAAAGATAGTACATCAGCGGATTCTCCAGCTGAGGGCAGGGGAATCCAATCCCGTGGAAATACTCCAGCATGGCTCGAGTGCCTCCGGAGTAGACCACACCGCCCAGGCAAAGGAACAGTGCGCGATCTAGGAAGGGAAATACATCGGAGCGCGGTTTCTCTAGAGAAAGTAGAATTCCACAGCCGGTCTTCTTGGCGGTGTTGGAGAGAATGGATATAAGGAGATAGGCGCTCAAAGGATCCAGTCCATGAGTGGGCTCATCAAGCAGAAGCATCACTAAGAAAAAAAGTCAGTTAAGCATAAGCCAGGATAAGCTTTAAGGTATTCTCACCAGGATCCCTGACCAACTGAATGCCAATGGCTAGACGTCGCGCCTCGCTAATGTTCAGGTACTCCACTCGCTTATGGGCCACCTGGGAAAGAGCCAGGTCTGCCAGAACTTGGCGAACCTTGGAACTCTTCAGGTAACCGCTCAACTAAAAAGTCAAACATTTTAATATTTAGATTTTAAATCAATAGAAAAACTTATTTCAATTACTCACAATGGTGGGCGTGTAGTGGAGTGTCTGGGCCACTGTGAGGCCTGGCACAAAGGTGCACGACTGCGTCACATAGCCGCAACGTTGCTGGAACAAGGCCTTGGACAGTGGCGACCCATTGAGCAGCACCTGGCCGCGAGTGGCTCCATCGGCGCGCCTCGAGATCACATCCAGAAGAGCCCGCTTGCCGCTTCCTTAAATGGTAAATATACTTAGTAACTAAACTCTTTAAATTTTAAAGAAATACCCAACCTTTCGATCCCAGAATGGCCATCACCTCGCCGCTGTGCACGGTGAGATTGACGCCTTTGAGCACCAGAGCCGAGTTGCCGGCTCCATTGAAGCAGCCACCACCGTCAACCTGATGGAACGATTAAGAGAGAGCTAAGAGCTGAGCAATGGAAGGTGGTTCTCTAGAAGAGAAGAGAGTTTTTCCGGCACTTGCCTCGGTGGTGTGGAAAATGTTGTGGGCTTCCAGTACGTAGTCGCTGCCGATCATTTTCATAGCCACCTGAGAGCTGCAGGTGTGTGTGTGTTAGCGTGTTTGTTTGTTTGTTTGGGCCTCTTTCGCTCTCTGCCTCACACGCTGTTCGTGGCTCAAGAGTGGTTTTAGGAAGAGCTGTGGTTGGAGAACAGGGGAAACGAAAAGAGAATGGTATAGAGAGAGAAAAACAAAAAAAAACCTAAATTTAATATTAAAGGAAAGCAGAATTACATTTTGCAAGGAAACACATATTTTATATATTTCATCTTTAAATAAAATACACACTTTATAGGTTTAAAAGTTAATTCTAATTTCTGTTAGCTATTTTTTTTAATTAAACAAGAATTTTGTGATGTCCAAACCAACCTCCGCGAACACGTCTACACCAACTGAGCGCGCCGTTCCAACTGATCAGAAACTGTTGCTGAACGACCAGCCAAGTGTCTACTGATCTTCCAATTGGGGATGCCCTCTCCGCCTGGAAATCGGCTCTCTAGGCCCAGAGCTAGCTCTCTTCCAGCGTAGCCAAACGGGCTAAGATGGCGGCCGAGGCCAAGTTCAGCTCAGTTCGCTGCGAGCCGAGCTCCGAGAGAGTTGCCTCCACCGATCCGCGGTTGGTTCCGATCTTTAGTCTTTCGGCGCCTGAATAACACACAGAAGAACTCCAAGCAGAAGCAGGGAGAATATATCGTATATAGAAAAAACAGCTAAAATATATACATTGCAAACGGGTGGCTAATTGAAATGTTTGCGGCATAACACGTCTAATATATAGTTACTTGTGCGGTGGAATATATATATTTCCTAATGGCCCCATCGGAGTGCATGCAAATGTTGTTATTTTTTCGACGCGCCTGACAAACGGATTGCGATTCTCGCCAATAGATACGAAAAAGTGGTTCCATAAGAAACGCCAAAAAAGCGAAAATAAGTGACGTGTGAGTGTGTGCCGAGTGTAGAGTGTTTAGTGTAGAGCGTGTGTGTCTATGTGGAATATGCGGACATCGGTGTAACAGCAGCAGCGGATCGACATTGTAACGTAAGTGTTGCAGATACAAAAGTATCTATCTGAGCCACGAATGAGTGTCACTGTCGTGTCCACCAACGGCTAATTAGAGTTTGGCCAACTGGTCTTTACTGTTAATTGTATTAAGGCAACCCCAGCGACCAGCGACCAGCACTTGCCACCTCAAAGATACCTCAAGAGTACTTGCACACATACACATGCAGAGTACAGTGAAAGAAAAATTTTAAAGAACAATTTTTGGCTTAAAACGTGGGGTTTCTTGATTGGTTAACTCATAAATGCTCTTTTTGTATAAAGATTTGTCTTCACTGTGGCCCAAATTTGAGGAAAACTTTATTTTCTTAGGGAGCAAACTATGTCAAAATGCAATTTTTTGTTTTTGTGTGATCCAATCCAGTTCCATAATATCAATTAAATTACAATTCATAATTATCTTATACATTCCACCACTATTTTCTGGTAAATCTCTCTTCAATTTCTGAAATTCTTTATTATTCTCCAATTATTTCCACCGTGTAAGGTACACACTGAAGGTGCAGAGTTAGAGTATCCACCACTTTTCCCTCCTGTATTCTTATGTTCTCTGTTCTGCTCGCGCGGTCGTCACCAGCTCAGGTCAAAGATCCCGCGAGCGGGTTTTGTCTAGCAAATGTATCTTAGCCTCC